ACTGTCATTTTTGCTGGAACCTGGATCGCGCAACTCGCTCCAACTCGTCAAGTTTAAATGAAGCTAAATGGGGCCATGTGTGTTTCCTTGTGATTTTCTAAAATATCGATTAAACAACCCTCTCAAATTTACACACACAAGTACACCAACATTACACCAAGCTGACCCTGCCTGCAGCATCAGAACCAACATGAAAGCCATCACTTTCCCTTTCAGACTGGGAGCAGCCACTGTTCTAGAAATTCGGCAGACAGGAATCCACATCTCCACGTCCCTGTCCCGAGTCCAACAGACAATTCCTACCCAGCACCACAAAATGGGAAGAGAAGAGTGGGAGACATTGGAAAGACAGTTGAGGGATAGAAAAATGGGTTTCTGGCAACCCCATTCTTAAAATATAGTTTTCTGGAGAAAACAATGCTATGAATGGAGGTTGCGTATGCTTGAATCAAACCTAACTGCCATTTTAACATGCTATGAGCTAAATTGGCTTTCTGGGCTTGAATTTAAGGCACAATTTGCAATGTTGTTTTTATAAGGAAATGTATTCTGCGTTCCAAACAACCAATTTATATGTGAACTTCTGAAGCACAACCCATTTGTAAATAAAAATTACAGTAATTGTTTCCTTTGGATATTCTTAATGAGCCAAACAAACAAAAACCAAAAACAGCGAATGGTTCACTTGCAAGATCAATAACTGAATGACATGGACAAATCTATAGTGATTAAACTCATTTGCAAAATAAGCATCAGTGGTATTGAGATTGGTGAGAATTTCATAGGATAGACCTTGATCTGAAATTAATGTATTATTGTTAGATGAACAGATTTATCTAACAAATTTAAGCAGCTATAATAGTATTTAAAATTAGTGTCATTATCTCTATACATAATAACCAACATTTTATAGAGGGCAAAATCATAAGTATAAAGTATTAAGCAATTAACTAGTTTAATCATGGCAACTCCAAGAGGTATTATTATATCCAATTTTACTGATGAGGAAACTGAGGCATGGAGAATTGGTAATTTGCCCAAAGTCATATGGGGAGTCCAGGCATTCTGACACTTTCACTTTTAATGTCTACATTATACTATTTTGTATTCAAACCCTTACAAATCTTTAGATTTTACATGGTTTTCCAAAACATACTGTTTAAAAGGCTTTACTTTTAAGTAAATAACACTTATGAATTAAGTGTTAAAAACTTAAAATTGTAAAAATTGTAACTACAATTTTTAGAGTTGAAATCTATAGTCTCTTTGCATATTTTTTGAAAATTCAATGTAAGGTAACACAGGTCAGATGCAATCATTGTAGACTTAAGAATATCTTCACTGGACATAGAACATGGGAAAGAGACTTAATATAAGCTGAATATTGGTACAATCAGAATTATTCTGAAAAAGTCTACTTCTAGAGAGGCAGTAGGACAAATAAGAGAACAGGCTCTGTATTCACAAAGTTGAGGCTGAAACTCAACTCTGCTACTTCTTGAGCCAAATACTTCAACTCTCTGAGCCTACTGCATCTTTTTCATTCGATGAGAATAATCTTCATTTTAAAAGGTTGTTGGTGGCCGGGCATGGTGACTCACACCTGTAATCCTAGCACTCTGGGAGGCCGAGGCAGGAGGATTGCTCCAGGTCAGGAGTTTGAAACCAGCCTGAGCAAGAGCGAGACCCCCGTCTCTACTATAAATAGAAATTAATTGGCCAACTAATATATATAGAAAAAATTAGCCGGGCATGGTGGCACATGCCTGTAGTCCCAGCTACTCGGGAGGCTGAGGCAGGAGCCCAGGAGTTTGAGGTTGCTGTGAGCTAGGCTGACTGCACGGCACTCACTCTAACCTGGGCAACAAAGCAAGACTGTGTCTCAAAGAAAAAAAAAAGGTTGTTGGGAGGCACAGGAGGCAGCTACAGCTTACCTAGGAAAAGATAAAGATGATTTCAAGGACGCAAAAACCTACCCTGCAAGGTTCATCGAGTGGAATCTTCCAGTCGCTAGAGACAGCCAACAAAGCCGATGGCCCAATCCCAACGTTTACTCAGGTCATGCCCTTAAGCACATGGCAGCCTTGGGATGATTTATGGTAAGGATATGACCACGACCCCAAGCAACTAAAGAAGTGAGGAAAGTCAGGGTATCACTTTCAGCAGATGAATACTAAGTAGCTTATTATTGAAGCATTATCCAAGGACAAGAGGCCACCTCACAAAGGACAATTTTAAAATATAAATGATGATGTTTGTCAAAGTTTGTGTATCAATCTGAACTGAAAGCCAAGAACAAATTATCTTTTACCAGCTCATGTCCTGAAAAACATTTTTACCCTGATTCAAGGACGTAAGAGCTTATGCACATGTTTTTGGATCTGGTATCGCTCAAAATGCCTGTATATTTTCAAAACCATATCAATGAGTGAGCTGGAAAATACCATATACCTATATCCTTGCAGATGTGATTTAATGGGTATACACAATACACTAGGCACTGGGTTGGGTACAGAATATTCCCATATAAACCTTATGACCCACATTCTAAATTGTGTCTTTTAATATAACTGAATATGTTCATTAAATATGCTAGTATCATTTGTTTATAAAGATCTATATTACTTATTCAACCATATTTTACATTTATAAAAAGTTGTTGTAGTTAGCAACAAATGGTACCAATATTCATAATACCTTTATATTTAGAAAGCATTTTTACAGAAAACAAAGGTGATTCTTTTATTATTAGAAAACAAAGGCCATATTTCAATACACCACCACCAGATAGGAGAATGCATACCAAAGAATTGTTAAGAAATTGGTCTTAAAAAAGAAAAAAGCACAATGACAGAAAACAAGGTATACCAAACCTCTAAAAAACCTACAACCAGACCTCTCTACTACTCCCACATACACATATATACAGGTTATATAAGCAAGGATTTATAAAACACACTGGAAAAGAAAGATAAACACACCTACATAAGTATATGTGTGCATGTTTTCCTCAAAAACATGCAACACAGGTTTCCTTGATTTTTCTCAGCTCCAAGAAATTCCTGATCTAAACCTAGTTCATGCCTAACGCCACAGATAGGAAATATAAAGCAAAAGTTTACTTTTTCCTGGGAGCAGTTAATTAGAAATATAAAATGTGTTTCGCATTTTTAGTGTGAAATCGACATACAGAGGTTGTTATATAGTGCTTGCCATTTAATTGTAACTTATTAACAAAAAGCTTTACACAGTACTATTCACATCACGGGAGAGGAATATCAATGCTGAATATATATATGCTCAGTGCTTCCAAACGTTTTCAGTACCTACACACGGAAGATCTAAAAAGAGTACAATATATTTTTATTTACAAGGAATTGTTTTCTCCCCACTATTATCTATTCAACTATTCCTGGGGTGCTGACACACGGGTCTCTTCACTGCACCTTGCAGTTCTCGTTGCCCTTGGGCTCGGCTCCGGCTCCTGGGCTGGTGGCGAGTTGGCCTCGCTTGGCTCTCAGGCCCTCTCGGGGACTGTCAGCCGGGCTTTTCTCAGGAAGATTATGGACCGAGAGAGATTTTGTGCTGGGTTCCCGGAAGGCGGCACCTGAATCCGCTGGGCTGTGCTGAGCAACCTTGACCTGCAACACAAAACGTACTTGTGAAAGGTCTAACTCACATTTGCAATGCTACGGCGTAAAAAAATAAAGCAGCGTGTCACCAAGTTTTAAGTTAAGTTCTTCTTCTCTAGGAGTTGTGCACGATTTTAAGATTTCTTCTTTGCCGAGAACAGGCGCCCACCTAACAGAGAAGTTATAGGAGGATGTCAGGCAAGACTTCCAACAAGTCATCAAACTTTCTCTGACGCCTCTGATGGCCAGAGACTTGCTCTTCCAAGACAAGCGTGACATTTTCAGGCCAGAAGGTAAGCTCTTTGAGGACCAAGACATCGCCCTATTTGCCTATATATTCCTAGAGCCCACGATGTGCTTAATGTTCAGTGAATTCTTAAGTGAGTACCCAAATCTGCCTCCATTTGTCTTGAGCTTTTGCTATCATTTAAAATAATAATGTAAATGAGTAGTGCTACCTTCATATGGCAGCAGCTTTACATACAACATTTAAAAAGACCTAGGATCTTACGCCTGTAATCCTAGCACTATGGGAGGCCGAGGCAGGCAGATTGCTCGAGGTCAGGAGTTTGAAACCAGCCTGAGCAAGAGCTCAGAACCCTGTCTCTACTATAAATAGAAAGAAATTAATTGGCCAACTAATATACATAGAAAAAATTAGCCGGGCATGGTGGCGCGTGCCTGTAGTCCCAGCTACTAGGGAGGCTGAGGCAGCAGGATCGCTTGAGCCCAGGAGTTTGAGGTTGCTGTGAGCTAGGCTGACTGCACGGCACTCACTCTAGCCTGGGCAACAAAGTGAGACTCTGTCTCAAAAATAAATAAATAAATAAAAAGACCCAGCACAAGTTCGTGTGTTTTAATCACTCTCCTTATAGTGTTGTTGGTTTCCATATCAAATTTGGATTCTAGCAGGACAACAATTTAACAATAAAGTCCAGAAAGAAAAATTCCCCTCTCAGATGTCCTGCCTTTTAAGAGAAAGAGGTGTCTCAGAAAAACGAGTAGATGAGAGAGAGTGAGGTAGCTAGTGAGTTCCAAACTTTTTGAGATGTATAGAGTAGTGAAAAAAGACATAGGCTCAAAAGAAAAAGAAGAGGCCGGGCGCGGTGGCTCACACCTGTAATCCTAGCACTCTGGGAGGCCGAGGCGGGCAGATTGCTCGAGGTCAGGAGTTCGAAACAGCCTGAGCAAAGCAAGACCCGTCTCTACTATAAATAGAAAGAAATTAAATGGACAACTAATATATATATATAAAATTAGCCGGGCATGGTGGTGCATGCCTGTAGTCCCAGCTACTCAGGAGGCTGAGGCAGAAGGATGCTTGAGCCCAGGAGTTGAGGTTGCTGTGGGCTAGGCTGACGCCATGGCACTCACTCTAGCCTGGGCAACAAAGTGAGACTCTGTCTCAAAAAAAAAAAAGAGAGAAAGAAGAGCAGGAAAACGAAGTCTAAAAAAAGCTTCACTTAACCACAGTTAAAGGCAAGAGTGAAAGATTCGAGTAAGATGATCTTTAAAGGAAAAAGAAGATCTCCTTGTGCCCTCGAAACCAGCTCACACACACAAGGATCTGTGTCCTGGTACAGATGTTAAGGAACAAGCATGTGACACACTCCTTGAGCAACTGACTTCCAGGGACCTCCTTCTGATGCAAGAAAAGAGAATGGAAATTATTTTCCCATTTATGTTCTTTCCATAGAAGTACGTGGTTCTTAGAGGCATTTAAATACTTTTCATTACAGTAAACATAAGAAATCTGGCCAACAGATCAAATCCCTGGAAAAGCTTGCTTCTATCTCAGATTATGTGCAGGACGCTGAAAAGAAGCAGCTTTGAAGGAGCAGGACTTAGTGGAAAATTACCATCCATGGAAAGTGGAAGGAAAAAAAACAGAGTTTTACTGGTATTCTTTTTTTATTATTATTTAAGAGAAATAGTGACATCAAGGACAAGTGTTTCCCTTGAACCTGTCAAATGCAAGAGTGGCAAATTTTTAGGTTCACCGTTAAAAGAGAGAGACAAAGGGAGACATCCCATAGAGAACGAAAAATATGAGCCTACTAAGACTCTTTCTTAATCCCGATTAAATGGCTAAAATCCACTTTCCCAGGCTTTTCCCCCTAGACTCGACTTCTCTGATACTGAATTGAGGAAACTGTAGTTTGTGATCACAATTTAAACTGTGGATTTGACCTTGATATGGTTAGTTAGCCTAAGAATGGTCTACAACCAGACAAGGTCAAATTCACCAAGTATGTAATCCCTTATATAGCACATCCCTATCCTGGTTGTCTTACAAAGGGTTCTACAGACACAATGAGAGGGCAAACATGCAGAGAGCTCAGTAGAAATGAACCTCACTAGAAAAAAAATGCAAGCCTCCCACTAAACTGCCTAAAACTGCATTGACAACACTGCCACCATCCACGATGGGCTTTACGGTTGAGTGGCCAGTCCTCTGCACTGGCCACCTAGCCTAGGTTCAGAGGGTCAAGTCTACAATCACTGACTCCCTTATTCCCAGCAAACTAGGAGTTCCTGGGCTCATTCATCAATAAGCCTCACCTAACATGCATTTTACCCACCCCTCCCCCTTTGAATTTGTCAGATGTCACTAAAGATCTTCTTAAATGACCTAGGGAATTACATCTCTCAAAACTCAGGCAGTCACCTCTCAGGGGAGAGCTCATAACCCTGAGTTTCTAAGCAATTGCTTTAGGAAATAATACTTTGTTCTAGATTTTTTTAAAACTGATGAACTGTGCTTAACGGATGAGGTGAGTATTTTATGGGGCAACTCAGAAAATGCTGAATTAAACTAAAAATTACTAGGCTAGGTTTTGAAGAGTCCAAATCTAATCATGAAGTCTCCTATAGCCTCCTCTCAAAAAGACACCCCCCCTATTCATTTGCAAGTGCACGAACTGCTAGGCAATTCGTCCTGCCGGTGCCTGCTGCACTGCATGTCGCTAATGCACTCAGCACAGACCTGCAGGAAACCATGGTTACTGCTCCCTGCTCAGCACACGCAACGGCAGTGCGGAGAGCGGGCCCCCTAGCGTGCAAAGCTCTTTTCCTAGGTAATAATTCTGACCGCCACATGCAAACTGCTTTTACCATAAATTTCTCATAAAAGGAGAAAAGCCCCATGTGGTGATTTCTTAAGAAGATTTCCTAACACACCTTTATAAACAGCTATTATTGCAATCACTTCAGCACCACAGTCACAGTCTCGTTCATTCAACAAACATGTGCCGAGCATCGGACATTGCATTAGTCGTGAGGACAGGACACAGGTAAACCAGAGATATGATCAGTAACCTCACAGGATTCAGACTGCAGATGAGAAGACAGATACTTAGGCAAGTAACTACATAAAGTGAGCTGCCTTAAGATAGTGGAGTTATAGAGTACCGGCTGCGTGTCATGGTTTTGTTCTGAGAGAGCAGGACAAACACTTCATTTGCAAAGAGGAAGGGATATTGCTTTGTCCCAAGGGGTAAGCGATGACTCCCAGTTGCCCTTCTAAGGAAATGGCACAGCCTCTACCAGGACCTTAAACCTGACTCTGCCTGTATTCCCTGTTCAGTGGGTATCTTGTGGTTAATAGTTTTGGTCAAGCTTGGTAGCTTCACTCTTTAGGGCCACTAATTGCTTTAAGAAGCTATTCTTATGGTCCTTGGAAAGTCATGAACTATTTTAGTATACTCTACAGTGTTTCATTGTTGGCAGCATCCAAAAGTTAAATCTCTCTCTGTGTTTGTGTGTGTGAGAGAGAGAGAGGGAAAGAGAGAGAGAGAGAACTAGAGAAACAGAGAGAATTTGGTGGGGGAGGAGAAAGAAAATTTGCCCAAAATGGTAGACTGTTTCTAATATAAGTATTAAATAACAGATGGGTTCATTTTAACAAGTAAAAGAAAACCTCAGACCCTTCTTCTTCACCCCAGAATTAATACATTTTTATTATAATGTAAGTTATGAACAAACTTTTTACTAGGTATAATTCTTTAACATTTACAGCTCTTCTACTTCAACAAAAACAGATTTGCAAATCTGCTGTTGCTTTGATGTAATTAATCACCAAGGTTTTCATATTTGGGTATCCAACATTCTAACCAGGAGCATGCTTGCTCCCTTAAGAGTTATAGCATTACACTAATAGGGGTTACTACACTTTCAAAGCTTTGTTTGCTGCTTCAAGGTTATCAGATTGCATACTTTATCAAACTCTGACAAGCGAGCAATCAAAGTAAAATCACAAAATTGTTAAGCCGTTTGAAGCTGTTCCAGCAACTTCCAACAACATTCTCATGGTCCCTGGTTTGAGAAACACTGATATGGTGGAAAGAGCAAGACTATGAGCTGAGAGTGAGGAAGGTGTTAACAGCAGGAGGCTAAATCTTTACAAGTCTCATGTTCTTCATTCTTTCATAACATCACCTACTGTGACGGTTCACTAAAATGAGAAAATAAAATGCGAGAGTAAAATAAAGTGTATATACTTTATATATATACATAAAAGGTAGCTGCTGGTATGGATCATAGTAATAAGAATAAAAATCTGAGCAAATATTCTCTATGCTTTAAGTATTTTCTGGGCTGTTTGGCAGGTACATAGCGGTCACTAAGCTCTGGTCCTATCCTCAACAATCAAAATACAGAAATCCATAAACAAAGCTCCTTTCTTTAGACATCTATTGAAATATGTTTTTTTCTTTTTTTTTTAGAAAGTAAAGGATTAATTAAAACCATAAAGAATTAGCAGCTGGGGGCAGATGGGTGACAGTGAAAAGTTTGAAACAAACAATGACCAATACCTGTGGCCAAGAGGAAAACTACCTCTTCAAATCCTTCAACGGCAATGCTTGGAACTTACACTTACAAATCCACTGAGTTTTGATACAACAATGCCATTTCCCATTGAGCTGCATATAAGTACTCTGAGTCCGGGATGAGATCCTGCAGCCCGACACCGTAATGCCCGTCGGCTCGCTCCCTCCTGGCTTATTTGTACCATGGAGAGAAGGTCAGACTTCAAAGGGCTGCTGAGTCAGAGCGTGCAGTGCCCAACCTTTGCCCAGACAACACTGCAATTTCCCGGATCTTAAACAGTAGACGACTGTTGACAGCAGTTTACCTTTTGTGATCTGCTGCCACCAGCTGTTGGTTTGGAGGACCCTGCAAGATTTTCTTTGCCGGGACTTGGTGGGGACGGTGCTAACTTCTGTGCAGCCAGGCGGGGGCTGGTCCGAGTTGCCATGGTCGTTCTCCGCAGGATGTATGGGCTAGTCTTTCCTGTTGGGATGTCTGCAAACCCTGAGGGCAAAAAAGCTGACTGTCAACACTGCTCGGTCCAATTCTACCCACAACTGAAATGAAATGAAAACTTTGCCTTCATTAGGCAAAGTTTTAACAAAGATAAAAGTAACTCCAAAAAATACTTTCTCTGAGCCACAGCAGACAATGGATTAAACATCACAGTTGCCCTGGAAGTTACCAAATTGAATCAATAACTAACAGGTTTTCTTTTATTAGAGAGATTTAGGAAAAAAAAAAAAACACAATGGGAGAAGAGGAGGGAAATTAACACCACACAGAAAAATTCCTTTTTCTGCTTTTTCTTCTTCTTCTTCTATGAGGTTGTTTTACGCTGCATTTTTCTAAGATCCAAAGAACACCAGCAGGCCTTATGGTAAAATTTGGATTGGAGGAAAAAAAAAAAGAGGGAAGAGTGGAAAATAATAATTAAAAAAGAAAGGACAGCTCTTGTTTCAAGGGGGCAAATGTAAAATGGCGACAGCTACTTCAGGCGTCCACTCTCGAGTGGAGACCAGGCGGGAGGAGAGACTGACCTTCCAACGGGTAACATCACACCTGCTCATCCCGAACCCTGCCACAGGAGAAATGGACGTGACCTTTGGTGACCAAGAGGAGAAAGTCGATCGCAAGGATAGTAAAAGAGAGCTCATCACGCACACTCCAGAATGGCATTCAGGGCTAACTAAAGCTGCATTTGTTTTTAACCCTTTGACTACAAATAAAAATCAACAATGAGAGACAGCTAACTATTTTGGGGCCAGATACTCAGAACAGTGCTTCTCAAGCCATCTATGGCAACGAATCTCTTTGGATTTTGGCTGGGCATGGGAGGGTGCAAGAATTTCCAATCTTCTGTGGAATGATGCTTGGATGTTGTAACAATGTCAAATTGCTATGAAAACTTCTAAACTCTTACTCTCAATTTCTGTACTTTTTTTTAAGGGGGGAGTCAATACCAAATAGTTCCTAAGCAAGTCAGACCAATGGGAGTGGTTTTTTTTTTTTTTAAACACTAAGTTTTTTTTAAAACACTAAGTTTTAAAAAAAAAGTAACAAAGAAAGTATGGTCAGTGGCCACAGCAGCACAGGGCCACCCTGCAGCTCACAGGTCAGACAGGACTAAAGGTAGGAAGGCTTGAAGGGCATTTGGGGATTTTTCAGCATAGAAATATCAAGACGGGCGCGGTGGCTCACACCTGGGAGGCTGAGGCGGGTGGATTGCTCGAGGTCAGGAGTTCAAAACCAGCCTGAGCAAGAGCAAGACCCCGTCTCTACTATAAATAGAAAGAAATTAATTGGCCAACTGATATATACATAAAAAATTAGCCGGGCATGGTGGCACATGCCTGTAGTCCCAGCTACTCAGGAGGCTGAGGCAGTAGGATGGCTTGAGCCCAGGAGTTTGAGGTTGCTGTGAGCCAGGTTGATGCCACGGCACTCACTCTAGCCTGGGCAACAAAGTGAGACTGTCTCAAAAAAAAAAAAAAAAAAAAAAAAGAAATATCAAATTCTGAACCGGCTTTGGATGGTAATTTTTTCTAAGCTAACAGCTCTTTCCATAGCACGACATGAATAATTAGATCCTAGACATCCTCTCATGACAGAAAGGAAAATGTACACCTCACCAATTTAAAAGCAAACTATTGATTGGGAAGGGCAATTAGGATTGCTGCACAACAACATAAAAAGTAAATGCTTCTGTCTTTTTATAGGTGAATTTTTGTATGAAATTTCAATAGAACGCAAATCATTTTGCTTCTGGATTATGCATACCTTTCTTTACAACTTCTGGAAGTCCCTCTGGCTCAAACGCGGTATCTTCTGTGTCCTCCGCAGTTTGAACACCACTTTTCACCACTTTCCTACTTTTTTTAGAAAAAGTCTCTGGGGTAGATGGTGTTTGTCCTCCACCATTCTCCCATATCCCACTGGACCTCTGCCTCTTGCCAGAAGCTTTATTTTGGCCAGATGATAACTTCTTTTCAGGAACGGAAGGGACTGGAGATGGTTCTGGAACAACTGGACTTAGCGAAGGAGAACTTCGGAGGTTATGTTTAGATTGCTGCGAACAGAGACGGGCGACTTGTGTTTCCAACATCTCGTTGGCTTTCTCTAACTTTTCGTGGCTTATTAGTAGGGAACAGTACTTATCCAAGTATTCGTCCGCTTCCTTGGTTTTTAATTCAAGATCTTCTTTCAGCTCTTTCATCTCAGTCATTAATTCATCTACCTTACCATCCACGACAGTATCTGCCAAAATAAAATGATACATCATATGTAACATGCATCGTAATGCAGATCATCTGAGACTTGTCCTTTGACTTTTTGGGAAGAGTGGGGAAGATAGATCTGTCTATGTTCTTACAGTTCAAACTCTTGTTTGGCAAATACCATATCAAGGTATTAATCTACATTCTCATAGATGCGTGACTTTTATTGGGATAGCTTAAATAAAATCCACCCAAATCTCAGACTCTTTTTTTTTTTTTAGCCAACCCATGAAACTTTCTTATAGTGCTACTTATGAGACCAAATGAATTAATTTTTACATACCCTAGGTTCCCTAGTCCATTCCTTCCACCATAAGTGAATGAACAATAAAAGTCAGTACAGATTAAGAAGTCCCTGTTGTATGGCTTTAGGGGACAGGAAGGAGCCAGTGACAAGGCAAGTCTGAAAAAACTCAGAAACTATTTGGAGGCAATGAGGGTCTGATAGATGAGAGTTTGGGGAACAATATAAAGGTGGGCGTCTTGGTCAACTTGCAGCTGCCATGGGTGGTCTAGAACCCATTAGAAAAACTCCCTACAACCCAATCTACTCCAAGCACTCTTCCCAGTGGGGAAGACTGGTGACCTGCCCTGCCAAGTGACAGTCCAGAGGAGCCACTCATACTACATTTGCCATCCTCTATCCACATAGTAACCTCATGCCACTCTTGGGCTAAAAGTGGAGAAAGTGACAAAGAGAGTTATCGTTTCTCTTCTATTTTGCCTGCATACCTAAAAATATAGCACCCCCACCCCATCCCCCTTTAGTGAACTCATGAAGATGGACCAAGGACAACCAGAACCAGCTATTTAGAAACGACCAATGCCAACTCGGAAGCCTGTCTGCTTTTGGCAAAGAAACTACTTAACTGAACACCGGCATGAAAAACTCTTCTTGGAATGGCTTGTTAGCAAAAGGTACCACCAGTTTTTCACGTTTTATAGAACATAAGATGTAATGATTTGATTTCAAAATACAGGCTTCATTCTAAATCCTAAAATGATCCCAGAAATTGGAAAATGGATAACTGCTGAAAAATCAGTACTCAGTAATAGAGTAAAGCATACACGCCATAAGTGTGTTATTTCACCATTAGAAAATAATTTTGGCTAATCGATGTGCCCCAGTTAATACCCACCTGTTTTCTGCTTCTCCTGTGAAGCTTCACGGTGAGATAGTTCTTTCTGCAACAGCTCCTTTTCCTCTTCCAGCTGTTTACAGGATTTGATCAACAACTTTATTTTCCCCTGGGCACGTTCATTTTCCTTCTTCAGCTGATTTACATATTTTAGACTGTCCATCTATAACACAAAAGCAATTCTATTTAAAGCCTTGAGTTTCCTTTTATAAGCATATGGGGAAACAATTCTGAGATATAACTAAGAATGACATATTGTAAATTTAAGAATTATCAGGTTTAGGCCGGGCGCGGTGGCTCACGCCTGTAATCCTAGCTCTCTGGGAGGCCGAGGCGGGCGGATTGCTCGACGGTCGGGAGTTCGAAACCAGCCTGAGCAAGAGCGAGACCCGTCTCTACTATAAATAGAAAGAACTAATTGGCCATTAATATATATGAAAAAATTAGCCGGGCATTGGTGGCTATGTTGTAAGTCCCTACTTGGGAGGCTGAGGACAGGATCGCTTGAGCCCAGGAGTTTGAGGTTGCTGTGAGCTAGGCTGACGCCACGGCACTCACTCTAGCCTGGGCAACAAAGCGAGACTCTGTCTCAAAAAAAAAAGAATTATCAGGTTTAAAAAAAAATCTAAAGATGCACAAAACGATTCACCTTCTCTACTCAGTTTCTTAAGTCTCCCCTGTTGACAAAGTGGTTTTGTCATTCTCTTTCTTAGTTTAACAAACATAAGTCATAGTTCCTAAGATAATGTCCTATTAACTGCCCACTATGTCTGTATCTATCCAATGGGAATTATACTGGATTACTGAGCAGAGTGTCCATAGACATATTCTTGGTGGGTTCAAAATTCTTAATGAGAGAATCGTGTTTTCATTTGTAAACATGATTTCAATTCCCATTTGTTTTAGTCATATCAAGTGTAGGCCTAATGATATTATAGCTCACTAAACCAATTTAAATTTTACAGTGGCTCAAGTAGAAAGTGAACAGAAAGGTGGGCGAATCATGTTATTATACACTTCTCACTGGTACAAGTTCACAGTTCCTTATCCACAATTCTACAAACAGCTGTGAAAATGATTTAGAGGCAACACTTGAAGAGATAGGAACACATTTATAGTCTTTATTTATCCACCTTGTGAGACTATCTACACATTTTGCTCTAGAAATATGAATTTGTCTATATTATCCCAGACCCAGTGGGTATTATGTAATATATGGCATATGCATTGTATTATATAATATCTTTTAAAAATGTAGAATTCTAAAACAATCTTATAAGGAATCACAAACATAAAAAGGAAGACCAAACACCAGGAGGAGGAGGAGGGGTAAAAAGAACTTGAGTACCATATTCATGGTGCAAGTAAATGTTACAGCTTGGATCTCATTCTCTGTATATTTCATAAATTTATTAGCAATATTATAGGAAATCTGCCCTTTCGGAACTTGCAATTTCTGAGCCAATCACAAATGGATTAAAGACCCATTTAATTCAATTTCAACAGCTACTTCTTTCTATTACTAAACCAAACATCTGTCACTTTATAGCAGCAGAACATTATTAATCTTTTAATGTTATTTTGAATTTATCAATTTATCTTTAATTAGTAAATCCCCTTCACTCCATAGCTGTGTAAGAGCTATAAACATAATAAGCTTATACCTAACCTTCTGTTTATATATATTCAATTAATATCATAATTTTAAAAATTTGAATCATCCTCTAAAACCTTTACTGGAAGATATTTATTTTCCAGGTTCATTATTAAACATTCTGGGTGGGATTCATCTTATGAAAAATATCCATAGGAATCAAAACATCTCCTTTCCCAGGTAGAATTACTGTAAAATCATCTTCAGACTAACAATCCTGAGACTAGGGTTCACCTCCATTTTTCCTAAAGAACAGTTTTATGGTCCTTGTATGGAGAGGAAGAGGAGGATATCCACATATGTTTGCCTGACAAGAGTGCTTTGCCACACCTTGGTCTCCCCGTAAGTCGCAGGAGAGTGGGTTTGGTACAGTGAACTTAGAGATGGATCATTCAAGACTTTGAAACTGCCCAACAGATTGTCTGATATCGCCAAAGAGGCCTGCCCTAATCCGCTGGGTGGCTTGCTCTTCCCATATACCTCAGAAATCTTTAACTTCCTCTAGTTTGACAGTATTTATGAAGCAATGGATAAAGTTTCTTCAGGTTGTGTGACTGCAGACCATCCACTGATTTTTAAAAATAACTCAGCAGAGAATTGATGAATGATATCATTTTTTACTACAAAAAAATTTGTATGAAATCAAAACAAAAACACTTAATTCTAAGCCATTAAAAGCACTACTGCCTGTATGAACCATTGTACATTATGAAGCAAGGAAAAGTGAACATACCTTGGTTTTCTTCAATTCTTCTAAAAGCTGAGTGGTAGCTTTCAAAGAATTATTGAGCTCTTCTTTACTAGACTTTAAGAGGTCCATCTCCAACTTCTGTGAGCTGAGACATTCTTCTTTAGACGTCAATTTCTCTCGATATGTCTGGATTTCTATTTCATACTAAAGTAAAAAAAAAAAAAGTTACTTAAGCTAGAAGGCATAGCTAAAAAAAAAAAATTGCAATGAAAATAAAACAAAACAAAACGCCCTGCTATTCCAAGGACCATTTTAAAGAGGTTTTGCAACTCTCCTTTTATTCTAATCCAAAATGGAATATAATTCAAAAAATCAAGTGAGAAAATAAGATAGGTAACTGGGAAAAAGATAGTGAAGTCTTGCAAAAAAAGTGACATATTACCATGGTCAATATACCATCTCCAGCCCCCTTAGTAACCAAACCCCACATCTTACCTGTTTGTTTGTATCCCACATCAAAGCCTGGTGTTTCTTTTCAGCTTCCTGAAGCTGCTGCTGATATTCAGCTACTTCTTCTCTCACTTTCCTTTCCTTTTCTACTTGATCTTCATGCATGCAATCCAAACTCTTCTTCAAGTCACTATTTTCTAACATGAGATCCTTCAATTGACCCTAAACAGAAAAGTAGCAAAATCATAACTGTGCTTCCCCCTCGTTAAGAACCTGGATACATATCCTTAGGAAATAACAAGTACTATGGGGGAAAAATCATTTATGGGTAAGATTAAATCTATAGTGCTGTAATCCTTAGCAATATATTCACTTTAAATTGTGACTTTACCTCCAATGACACCTTCTTCTGCTCCAAGCCAAATGCCCCCAAGCTCACATCCACAGAAGCCAGAATCTCTTTGAAAACTCGATTTCAACTAAACCACTCTGGGACCATACTAAAGTTTAAATAAACTATGCTTCCAACTTAGTTTATTTAAGGTGCCCCATTGTAACAATTCCTCGGCCTCCTCAATAGAACCACCACCTTCACCCTCAGTCCCCTGCGGACTTACATCGTCTTCCTTGCCCAGCTGAGACCCATGTTCAATCACTATAAGAGTCCCCTTCCAAATGCCCTCAACTCCTTCGCCCCTCCCTTTGCTGGGAAGGACAGGCAAAACCCCAGCCCTGGAGGCGTCCGTCTTTTCCATGCCTGACCCCAGCAACTGTTTCTGCACGTGTGTCTACATACGTGATGTCCCCTCCTCATCTCCCACTCACTCTTCAGCCTGCTGCACTCGGTTCCGTCTCAGCTCCTCCTGAATAGCTTCTCCTGGCGCCATCAACCTCCACGTTGCAAATTCAAGCCACACCCTCCAGAGCTCATCTCACCAACCTCCAATTAGCATTCAGTACTGCTGACCACCCCTTCCTTCGAGACACTCCTTCCTCTTGACTTCTAGTCCATGACGCTCCCCAGGTTTGGGTTTGCCCCATCAAGACTTCTCAGTTTTCTTTGCTGGCTCTTCCTCCTCCATCTCACTGTGTGTGCTGGAGTCCCTCCGGGCTAGACCCGGAAACACCTTTTCTTCTCCATCTGTGCTTTCTACTATTCCCATAATCTCTAGATACTCCCTAAACATGCGAGTAGCCTAATTAATATTCCTGCCCTATACCTTCCACAGCCTTCCTATCCACCCAATCTTTTTTCATGTCATCTTCCCTCTGGCTCCAGCCACAATGGCTTCCTCTCAATTTCAAAGAGATACCAAGATCTTTCTAATGTCATAGCTGTCACCACACTGCTCTCTAGACCTAGAAGGCTCCTTTCACTCTGCCTGGTCTTTGCATGCCTGACTCCTCATCCTGCAGGTGACATCCTCTGACCACCTTATCTAAAGTAGTTTACTCCCTACCCCCACACCATCACCTTCACTTCTCAATTATTCTGCAGGAAATAATTTTATTGTTTCTTTTATAGTGCTTGCCAATTCATTATGTTATCCATTCCCTATTTCATGATTTTTTGTGTGTTGAAATTGTGAGCTGTATGAGTGCAGGAATCTCAGGATAGGTAGGGGTTCAACAATCTAAACCCTAACCTTACATGTACTCATTTTTTATAGAATGAATAATTGATTGCAAACTAATACACTCACACATATGGACCAGAGGCCAAATATCCAGCTTTTTCTCTTAGCAGTGCCTATACTATACACAAAATACAGTAACAGCATACATGGGATACTCCCAAGCTGCTCAGGACCAAAAGAAACTTCAGCAGAGGCCGGGCGCGGTGGCTCACACCTGTAATCCTAGCTCTCTGGGAGGCCGAGGCGGGCGGATTGCTCGAGGTCAGGAGTTCGAAACCAGCCTGAGCAAGAGCGAGACCCCGTCTCTACTATAAATAGAAAGAAATTAATTGGCCAACTAATATATATACAAAAAATTAGCCGGGCATGGTGGCGAATGCCTGTAGTCCCAGCTACTTGGGAGGCTGAGGCAGGAGGATTGCTTGAGCCAGGAGTTTGAGGTTGCTGTGAGCTAGGCTGACGCCACGGCACTCACTCTAGCCTGGGCAACAAAGCGAGACTCTGTCTCAAAAAAAAAAAAAAAAAAAAAAACTTCAGCAGAGATAGTACACAAACATCATCCACATCATCCACTCTTTCCATGCAGCACTACCAGAAAATTCCCTAAGTCAATTGCTGAGATTAAATGCCAAAACTTTTCAAATTTTCATAGATTAAATACTACATTTAAAGAAAAGTACAAATTTCCCCAACTCCTTTTACAAGATACTACTACCATATATCATTTCAACTTTGGGAGACTATTCAGGGTCACAATCATGACCATCTTATTTTGCTATTCTTTTCTAAGCACTTCTTAGAAATGAAGTTACATGAGGGCTATATGGTTATAGGAATGTTTACAGTTCAACCAGCTCTGGCAAACACGTTTCATTCCATCTGCCAGCTCTGCCTGTGTGGCAGCAGCTACCCAGGATACACTGTTGGAGAAAGGAAGGGCATGAATTAACCATGTCTGCTATAAAACAGCAGTGGGGAGTGGCGGTCCCCACGCTATAGATGTGCCATATTAACCCTGCCCTAAAATATCCCCCAAGACTCCTCTCACTTTGCATTTCATGGTGACTTTCCTTTTGTTTCTTTGTTAGTTCTGAGCAGATCAATGCATGTGTCTCCAACAATATTCCAGCTTGTCACATGTGGCAGGCTAGGAGAGCAGATAAACCTGTTGAAAACTGCATGAAATCTATTTCTGATGTGAGTAAATGTGACATAAGGGTCCTCTCTTCTATGAAAATGTATTCGGGCTCCGAGATGGGTGTTGTCATGTGTTCAGAGGCTTCTCGTGACTCGATCTGGGCTCATGGCAGTGCTGGCTGGTGGAGATGACCACACTTGTGATCATGACAGAAGCATGGGGTTTTTTCAAAAGCTAAAAAAAGTTTGATACATTACAGAAGGTCTTTTACCAAAACCAACAAGGAGAGTATGGATTATCAGATCATAATACACCTGTCAAACAGAAACTTACTTTGCTGCTCTTTATTTCTTCTGACAGTAATTTTAATTCTTCAGTTAGCCTATTTTTCTCTGCATCAAATTCTTCTTTCAGCTCCGTTGTTTTCTGCACCATCTCATGTATTTTCTGCTGCAGCTCAGTCTCCTTGGCAGTCATTGTGTTTACCTGAAATGTAATCTTTTGTTAGGACCTGCCTTTGGTTGTCTGTTTTGATCAAATTAATCGCTTTGATACGACATATTCATGCCATTTACTTTAGCCTTCAATAACAAAATGGAACCGGGCTAATCCCCACTTTACTAATCCACTCAACTAAACATTCCCAGAACATGCTGGTGTGCTTACCTTCTCCTTCTCAGCAAAGATTTAGTAAAAGACAGCAAGAAGGAAAGGAATGACAAGTAAAGATAATATTACTAAGTCTTAAAATCCCTCTTAAGGGCATTAATTTGAATTAAACACCAGAGAATATTGTACAAGGCACTGTCTTAGTTTATCAGTTCTTGGATCTCTACTAATCCCCCAATGGCATACTAATCTGCAAGAAACATGCCTATGATTAGCTAAAACCAGTTAAAGAGCTGTTGTTTGCATTTGCCCCTTAAAGTTGAAACAGCCTGGTCCGGTTTGTCTCATCGTCTCTAATTGCCATCCCTTGCAAGATGTACAAAAACTTGAAATTCTTGGGAAACACAAAGTGGTAATGAATTACATTTTCTGGATGCTCCTTTTTTTCTTTAACACTTGTTCAGTAAAAATTTAATTTGAAGGAATCGCTTTCCTAGATCCGTTTGTAAGCATATTGGACCAAAACTTAGTTTTTCTTTAATAGTTGAGCTTCTTGATGGCAGATCATCCCTTTAATCGCCAGCTAACAAAATAGGAGACTGCACAAAGAGAAAGTACAAAAGAAGGAACTGAAAGTACAAAATCCCCAGGACACATCCTGGGAGTCGTGAGTGCCCTGTTGGTTATAATTATATTAGTATCTTTAAAAGTTCTTTCTCCTTAAAGGAAAAAAGGCAGGGTCATGTGGGAGGATACTTTCTGATCCTAATGAGTATATGTTATACTTTCTACAGCAGTGATTCTGAACTGGGTACATGGAGGCCTCTATTCTACCTGTAAGATAGGGAAATATAATTAGAACCAGGAAGTGTGCATAGCCTAAAACTTCTCCTGTGTGAAGTGCCATGTTAGAAACCTGGTCCAGGTTGGGCCCAGTGGCTCATGTTTGTTATCCCAGCACTCTGAGAGGCCGAGGCAAGAGGATCACTTGAGGTTGGGACTTCAAGACCAGCCTGGGCAATATAGCAAGACCCTATCTCTACAAAAAGGTTAAAATATTAGCTGGGCATGGTGGCATGTGCCTGCAGTCCTAGGTACTCTGGAGGCTGAGCTCAGGAGTTTGAGGCTGCAGGGAACTATGATCATGCCACTGCACTCCAGCATGGGCAACAGAGTGAGACCACATCTCTTAATTAAAAAAAAAAAAAAAAAAAAACCTTATCCAATTCATGAAAATGTCCAATGTGTCAAAGCAGTCACTGCTGCCAGAGTCAACTCAATGTCCCCTCAGTTCAAAACCCAACATAAAGCCTTTACAAAGTTCGGTCCAATATGGCAGACAGTGTCTAGAAGGAAATACTCACAAAGTGGTTTCCCTCTCCCATGACCGTACATTTAAAATGGAAATAGACAAAGCCACTTACTTTTTCAACAAAGGACATTTTCTCCATTTTTGCCAATTCGAGCTCATTCTCTAGATCCTTGTAAGATTTCTGCAGGGCTGCTAAGGCATCCTGCAAAGTGTCATTTTTAGATTGCAGCAGTTGGATCTTCTGTTCCAATTCTACGGTCAGATTTCCCAATTCTACTTTTTGCTTCTTCCAAAGCTTCTGCTCTCCTTCCGCCTGGGACAGTCTAGAGGCCAGCTGCTCTTGGTCTTGAATTTGACTTTTTAGTCTACTGATTTCTTCGTCCTTCTTCTCTAGTGCACGTTTGCCATCTTCTACCTCTTGAATGAGGCCATTCACAGAAGATTGCAAAATAATGTAATTATTTTTGGCCTCATCAAGGCCTTGTACCAACTGAGCCTTCTCAAGTTCAAGACAATCGACTTGACTGCTTAGATCCTGTTCCTTGGCCTTACAGGTCTCTCGGTCATTACACAACTCTGTCACGTTCTCATTGAGCTCTTTTAACTGTGTCTGAAGCATCTCTACTGCACTGTTAGATTCTTCTTTCATCTGGACTATTTCTCGCTCTTTTTCTTGCAGTAGATTTTCAAACGAAGAATTCAGCATTTCTAATTCAGACACTCGCCCTTGCTGATTTTGTAATTCTTTGGCCAGATTTTCTTTTTCTGACCTTATATTAACAAGATCTAATTCCAGATCTCTCAGGTTTTGAGCCATCCTTTCTGTTTTTGCTTTTAGGGTCTCTGCCTCTGCCTTGGAATTCTCTGCCTCAAGAATCACACGTTCCTGGTTTTTCCCTGATGCCTCTAGCTCTCTTTCAAGGTTCTCAGCTATACCCTTAAGTAAATCAGCCTGATGCTCACTTTCCTTCAGTTGTTCTAAGATATGGAGCTGCTTCTTTCCATCAGCTTCTAGGCGGGCCTTCAGCTTTTCAATGCTATTTCTCAGCTGATGCACTTCCTCCGTTGGTGAGTCCAGACTCTGTTCTTTGGTCGTGCAAGTTTCTTGGTCATTAAGCAGAGCTGCAAGTTCCTCATTTAGTTCTTTCAACTGATTCTGAAGCAACTCTGCTGCAGTCTTAGATTCTTCTTTGATCTGTTCCTTTTCTTCTAACAGAGTTTTAAATGAAGAGAGCAGCTTGTCTAATTCCGACACTTGATCTTGTTTTTCTTGTAGTGCTTTTCTCAGATTTTCTTTTTCAGACCTTACCGAGCCAAGGTCTGATGCTAAAACTTTCAGGCTTTCAGCCATCTCTTCCATTTGTGTCTTTAGGGTCTCTACCTCTGCTTTGGAATTCTCAGCATCAAGAATCACCAGCTCTTGGTTTTCTTCTGCCATCTGCAATTCCCTTTCAAGGCTCTCCACTTTATCCTTCAGAGAATCGTTCTCCCTCTCTCGTTCTTTCAGTTTCTCTGCCACGTGGAGCTGCTTCTTTTCATCGGCCTCCATACGGACTCTCAGTTTCTCGATGCCTCTTCTCAGCTGATGCACTTCCTCCTGCGTGGAGCTCAGCCTCTCTGCAAACTCACCCTTCTCCATCTGTGCAGCCTCCAAGGCCTTGGAGACATTCAGCTTTTCCTGTTGCAATTCACTCAGTCTGGCCTGCAGGCTTTCAGACTCCCTGCAAAGCGATTCTTTCTCTCCATTCAGTTGTCCCATTTGGATTTCCAGCTCACATTTTACCAAAGACAGTGCCTGTGAGTCCTTTTCCAAGCTCTGCAGCTGCTCCTGGAGGTGAGCTTTCTCTTTTAACAGCTGGCTCACATCGGAGGACAAAGTCTGAATTTTCTCTGCTTTGTCCTTTACCTCTGCCTCCACCACCTGAATGTGACGGAGACACTCGCCTTGATGAGCCTCGAGCTCTTGTATTTTCTCCTTCATCTTTTCAGACAAGCCATCCAGTTCTTTGTTTTCTTTTGACACTGTATCTAATTCTCCACGAAGCTGGTTTCTCTCACTGGAGACCGCGGAGAGTTCTGCTTCAAGACCAACAATTATGTTCTGCTTATTTTCATTATCTTTTTCTAAATATAGCTTGTCTCTTTGAATGATCTCTAAGTCAGCTTCCAGAGAGAGGGCACGATGCTCGATGCCAGCCTTCTCCGATCTCATCCTTTGCAGCTCATTTTCCACGTCCAGAAATCTCCCTTTCCAGTTGTCATTCACCTCGGCTTCTTTGTCTTCAATAACTTCATGTGACGATGTATCTGTGCCCATTTCTAAATTAGAACTGAGGCCTTCAGAAGTGTCTCCTCTCTGATGTAATTCCAGGTTATCGCAAGAAAGAGATGCCAATTTTTCACTTAAATCTGAGTTGGCTTTCTTAAGTTCCTCAACTATTTTTTCCAATTCTACATAGGCTTCCATTTTGGTTGTTAGCTGTGCTTCCTGTGAATCGAGTTTTGAGTCTAACTCTTTAATGTCATTTAGCAAACTTTCAACTTTTCTGTCACGGTCCTCTATCACATGAAGTAATCTCAAATTCTCATTCGATGTTTTTTCTACCTGCAGCTGAAGATTCTGGATGGTTACCTGATTCTCCAGAAAATCCATGGGTACCAAAGTATTAGGATCAGAAAACGACAATTCAGAAATGCATTCTGAATGGCCCTGGGTTTTGTCTTCCCCTGGAATCCCATGACTGGTTTCTGGGGACTGCTCACTAGAACACTCTCCTGGAAGTCTGACTGCACCTGTCTCTGTTATTTTCTCAGACTCCAGACTGAGGTCCTGCTGAACATCTTTATCACAAATCTGATGACCGTCATGCTTTGGTGTTCTCTCTGTAGTTTCTAAAGGATATTCTTCTGATTCTTTTACATCACGGCTCTCATTTTGGCTCTGAATAACCTGCGTTTATAATATATAACAAAATGCAATTTATTTTTTAAGAAGAATCAAAATAGAATAAATAGATTTAATTATTACTTTTTAGAAACTGGCATCTGGCCTCCACTAAACACCTCTCTTTAAATGGTATATTTCCCACCATGTCCACCTCTGTCCATCCAAATACTCAACACAATTAAACATCAGGAGGTGGTCCCTATGGACAAGGTGGTCCCTATGCACTGAGTAAGGTATTTATCACGAAGACAAACCCTCCAGGCTCAGTTATTTTATCAACTAAATTGCAATGTATTTAAATTTCATATTTTCTTCCTTGCTAAGAATATTCTAGGTAGCCTATATGTAAAATTTCTCTTTGTGATTATCAAATAAGAGGCTAACAAAATGTTCGCTTTCACCTTAAGTACTTATTCTTTAATAAGAGAAGGCAGTAAAGTTTCATGACCAGATTCCCAGCCCAAGGACTTAATCACCAAACCAGCACTTACTATGTATATTCCTGGATAAATTACACAGGTTTGATTCTCATCGGGGATCTGCTGTTCTCGCTACTCTGATGCCAGCTCACCAAGCCTTCCCCCACTCCCACTCCCTAGCTCCGAGGAAGATAGAGGGAATCAGGGGAGGCTCATGAACTGAACTGCATTATTAGTGAAGCTGGGAGACTAGGAAGGACAAAGTTATAAGCAACTAAACAATTAAGTATTCAATAAAGAAATGTCTCTTTAAATGAACGATACTAAATCACACTTTCATAACATACCAAATTGTTAGAGAGAAAATTATTCATTAATATATAAAGAATCCCCTATATTTAGTTTCATGACTGTAAGACTATAACATTAAAAATAGTCTGAAAAGGACATGAGGTTAAAAATTCACATCACATTACCATTTATAAGCTCTTAAGTATACTTCATTAAGTCACAATCAGGTAAAAACACAGATATATTTATGTACTAAAGAAGACCTTCTGGCTCCATAATATGATTTTCTCCAGACTTTAAAAACATCTTTAGTAATTTCCCATATAATAGTGTTTAAATCTAATCACTTATTAGAAATAAGATTTACTCATTTTCCTAAAGTTTTGCTTTGTGCTTAAACATTTTGGGTATATTTTATTTCTATTCCCTTGTACCCTAAAAATGTTTTAATTTAGACTGAATGTTGATTTCAATTAAAAAAAATTTTATTGAGTCCCTCCTGGTCATGGAAAGAGAGAAACAATACGTAAATCCCAAGTAAGGTACTTACATCTTCTAAATCGGTGCCAAGCAAAGACCGAGAACTTAAGTCGAGACCTTGCAGCTGGAGTCTCGCTACCTCAAGCTCAAGTGATAGCTGTTCCGTCTGTTTCTTTTCTGCCGCCAACTTGGACTCCATCTCCATGGTCACGCTTGTCAGTTTCTGCTGCCACTGTTCGTTTTCTGACAAATACTGCTTCCTAAGGCAGTCGAGCTCTTGCCTTTCAGAACTTAATAACTGTTCAAGCTCTTGAATTTCCTTGTTTTTGATAATCCCTTGACTTTCCATTTTCTCTTCTAGCTTCTTGAGGGACTGCAAGTACCCCTGACAGAGGATCTCAAGTTCTTCAACACTCCTCACTGGGGCAGATGGCATTTCTTTCTTGGTCAGATTCTCCTCCTCCAGACTGCTATAAGATAGTTCATCTCCATCAGACTGATCTGCTGAAACATTCCCTTCTGTGCCTTCTAAGTTATTCAACAGAGACATTTCTCCAGCCTGTTCTAAAAGAGCTTTGCAGAAAGAGGAGTCCCCAAAGCTGGAAAGACTAGGGCTGTCAGGCACACAAGAGAATGACAGTGACAAAATCCGCCCCTCCTCAGAGTCCAGCTTTGTCTCCTTCACCAGGCCACCTTGAAAGTTTCTCAGATTAGTTGACAAGACTGAATTTTCAGCCTTCAACGAGTCAATGTAAGTCTGGAGCTCTGACATCTTGGAGCTCATTTGACAGTGCTGATCATGTAAAATTTTGTGTTCACTTTGCAAAGATGAGAATTTCTCCTGCAACTCGGCAAAGTGCATTTGAACTTCTTTGTTTGACAATGTCAAGTGCTCATAGGAATTACTGTCGTCCAAAGGATTCAAGGACACAGACTGCTGCTCATTTTGCTGTTCACCAAATTCGCCTTCTGGCATTTCTTTCACTAACTCACCACGGAGAAGACCATTTTCATCGTTTAATATTTTAACTTCATTGACTAGTTTCTCTACCTCTTCTGCCATTCTACTAGTTGCTGTGATACATTCTGACCTTGAATCATTCAGCTCAGACTCGAGTTCACACTTTTCAGCCTTCAGTATGTCACATATTTTCTCTAGCTCGTTCAGCTTGTTCATTGCTGTCTGTAGAGAGCATTGCAGATGTGCATTGTCATTTTGACTTGTTGACAAGTCATGAAGCACTGAAATGTACTTTTCTTCTGCATCTATGTCACAGTCTTTAAGGTCACTCATTTCTTGTGACTGAGTGCCTTGCAAATTTCTAGTTTCTAATTCTGCTCTAATTGTCTGTAATTCATGCTGCAGGCACTCCTTCTCCTTCTCGCCTTCCTGAAGTTTTGATTCCATAGTTCTTATCGTAGCTTCTAATTGCACCAATTGTGCATTATAACTGTCTAGAGAAACGTTTTTAACGTCAAGATCCATCTGAAGTTGAAAATTACATTTATTTAACTCACTGTCTCTTTCTTTCACAGAGTCCCTAATTGGTTCCAATTCCTGGTTTTGATATTCATGCTTAGTCTTCGTTAACTTCATCAGCTGCTCATTTTCTTGTAATGCGTCATTAACTTCCATTTGCATCTTATCTTGTTCTTCCTTTAAAACCATGATTTCTTGCTTTAAACCATCAGCCTCGCTCTTGGAATTGTTTTGGATATCTTTAATCTCAGATCTCAGATCTTGCTGCACTGTCCCCAACTCGAGTATTAGATTCCGGGTTCTTTCTTCAGCAAACGCTAATTTTGTTAAGAGTTCTTGGTGTTCCTTTGCAAATGTTTCCTTTAGCCGTTCCAACTCACTTTTTCTATTTTCACAAACACTTGTGCGTTCATTTAGCAAACATTCTAATTGAGAGTTCTTTTCTTGTGCTGCTTTGTATTTTTCATTGAGATCCTCAAATGCATTTCTGGCTTCTTCACATCTTTGTAGTAAAATAAGTTTGTCTTGCTTGTACTGATCAGATAACTCTGAAATGCATTTCTCTCTTTCTTCTATGCGGTTTGAGAAACTCTCACTTTTTTGGAGTAAGTTCATCTTCTCTTGACTTAAGGTTGTATTTATTTCCTTGAGAGTCTCATTCTCTTGGGTCAGCTCTTCAATTTCTCTTTTATTTAGAAAAATGATGGAACTCATTTCCTTTTTCTCTGAGCTCAGAGTTTCAGATAAAAGTTGTAGCTCCCTTAGAGATTCTTCAAGTAGATGATTGCTCTTTTTTAATTCTTGAATCTCTGCTTGCTCAGTTTCTAATTTTTCATTCAAGAGTTGCAACTCTTTTTCCTTGTTCTCAAGGGCAACTAAAGTTTCGGCAACAACATTCTGATGAGCAGAAGTGTCTTCTTGTAACTTACTAATGCGTTGACTTGTTTCAGTCACAAAACTTTGATGCATCTGCTCTGCTTTCATGAGATTTTCTTCTATTTCTCCTCTGATTTGCACCAACTCTTCACACTGCTTTTGCAGATCCGAGTTCATCTGCTTTTGAGACTGCAATGAAAATTCAAGTGAATCAACTCTATTTTGTAGAATGGCTGAATTTTTTGGACTTCGGTCTGCTTCTAAATGGCATTCACTCCTTTCTGAAGGCACACTTCCTTGTTCTCCAGTTATATTTGCAAAGGAATTATTCATGGCAGGCTGCTGTTCAAAAGGCAAAAGACTTTTCTGATGATCCTCATTTGGCACCAGAGAAGAATCTTTGGATTTCAGCAGATCCCTGAGGTTCTCATATTCAGCAAGCAAGTCTCGGTAACACTGGTCTTTGGCCATTTTTTCGCTTGATAGCAACTGAAGCTTGTGTTCCAGATCTTCAACTTGCCCAGTAAGCTGAGAAGTTTTCAAACACATATTTTCCATTTCCTTCTTATGCTTCTGATCTGAGAACTCAGCTTCCTGCTGCAGTGCTATATAAGCTTGTTTCTGTGTCTCCACCTCCACAGACTTGCTGTCTATCACATTGTGAAGGTTTCTGATCTCAACATTGAGGTTTTCTCTTTCCATCTCCAAGGTTCTTACTCTCTCATTGTATTCGTGACTTTTTATTTGTTGCATCTTGAGACAAGTTTCTAAGTGATTAATTTTACTCTGCAAGCTTTCCTTCTCTGATTCCATCTGATTTAAAAGTTTTTCGTTCTCACTCTTCCAACAAGAAAACTGAGTTTTCTCTTCTTTCAGTTCTTCATATTCTTTCTTTTTTAACTCCAAAGCATTCAGTAAAGCTTTGGACTCTTTCTCTGTCTTGCTTAACTTATCGTTCAGTTGTTCAATGTGATGTTCCCTTTTCTTTAAAAGGTCTTGAGAACAATCTCGCTGCTTTTCTAGATCAGCTACGGCGAGCTTCAGTTTCTCTAATGTCAAGGAGTTTTCTTGCTGATTTATTTTTTCTTGAAGATCTCTTAACATGGTTTCCTGAGAGGTATTCTTGGCTATTTAAAAAAAAAGCAAAAAAAAAAAAAAAAAAAAAAAAAAAAAGCTATCAATGTTTATAATAAATATTTATTCTGCAAGACCTCCAAACTCCAAGAAAAAAATTTCCTGGGTACCCCCTAAACAATGGATCACCTGATAATTAACTAAGCTTATATAAAGACAATGAGAAAAATTGTCATTTTAAGCATAGTAATATATTTGTTAATCTCCTTTCTAGCAGCTTAATAAACTGTTGTTGTATAAAATGCCAAGGGATTATTTTCCTAAGCACTAGAAACTTTCTTTTTCTTTGTAGGTATTTATGTGTGTGTATTCTTCCTGCCTTTTGAAATATTTATTCGAAGAGAGAAAACTGGGACAAAAACAGCACTGAAAAAGGAATATCCTACTTCGCTGTGGATTAATTCCGATGTCCCAGAAAAGTAAATAACTACTCTACCATGTTAGCCAAAAATCCGTAGGATTAGGCTTAAGTAGAAAAGAATAAATGACGCTATATATCACTAACTCTCAAGGCCCATGTGTGAATATTCTTGAGGAATAATATCACCTGCATTCCAGCCTTTCACAGTAAGGGTGGTGTCTATGGATATGAAAATCATCTGGAAGCTCCTTCAAATTCCATTACCACCTTGTGTTCTGCCCCATGATCTCACCTCTACCAATGGGCCCCTCCTAGTTGGGAATAACCACATCGATTTCAATAAACAGTGATGAAGAGGCTTCTTGTTTCTCAAGCATGTTGGCGGAGAATAAAAGTCAAGAACTCTGATGAAAGCAGCATGCCATTGCAACCTCAGACGTTACGCTAAGCGGGAAACAATGCAGACTTCTGACCTGCTAATCTCAATCACCCACTGAGAGTCCCACCTAGTGGAGACAGTGCCACAGGGCGTCAATCTACTTTGCTTGTGGGGACCTCAAACAGTGACACTGGTGACCAAGATTGAAAAGTTCCCCCAACTATTCCTTTTCCGACACTTTTCCTCCAAGAAAGCCAAAGACTAACATTTCTACCTGCTGCTGTGGAAAAACTGAAAGCTCTCTTGGGGAGACTGCAATTCAAAAATAAAACAGTCACAGAGAGGTGTAACACACATTCCACAGGTGTGAGTTAAAAGAAATCCTAGATGTGCAAACACCCCAGGTGAGAAAATAAATGTAAGCAAAAGACATATGGCACACACGAATATATGCGAAACGAACGGTGATTCCTTTGACGTGGCTAGCATAATTCTCTGGCTTTAAAATAAGGAAATAAAATCATTCAGTCAAGTAAGTCATCAAAAAGCAAAGATCATTAAGGGCCTGGAAAACATGCATTTAATATAGGGCTTTCCCATTACAAGGGAAACGGCGACAAGTCGGAGGAGCTGTCTGGGTGTAACTAACAAGCCCACTTGAGACACAGAGCATTGCACTCTGGGGTGGGAGAAAGCGCTGACAATTTAGCTTTGTGTGGAAAATATTTACCCTTCTGGTTCCAAAGTGCTAAACACCAGGCATTTGGGGACTCAATATGTTCTAATTAAAAAATGTCCAACTATCACTCTGGAAACTAAAAAGTGGAAAAGGGGGAAACTCTCCCCCATCAACTGCACACATCTTTTTAAGTGAATACATGGAAAAACCCAAAGAAGTTCACTAAGGTGCTAATGCCACCCTCCTCCTTCACGGGAGTAAAAGCTTGGGAAAATTAACTCTAAAATGCTAAGTTCACTCACCTTTCATCTCTTCTGCAAAATTCTGGCTCTGGTTTAAACACTGTTTGACTTTCTTAAGTTCCTCCTCCAGGTGGCAGACTTCTCTGGCCTTTTGCTCAGACTGACTCGTAAGGAGGCTGTTTTCCTTCTTCATTTCCTAAAATACACAGCGAATTGGTTATAATCAAAACAAATGCTCAAATGTGTTTCTGCCTTCATAAAGATCCCTAGGCAGAACTGTTTGTATGTGTCACTAGGGGAAGAATCACATTTCCCCAGTAGGCACCTAATGAAGTCAGGCACTCTTACTGCAATCAAATAATGTTATGATATGCACATAGCGTAACTCTGATAATAATTTTGTTCCTTCAAGAAATGTATTTCTTTAAACTTTCTGGCTGTTCGTATGGCTCTTATAGATATAGCTCATAAGGAAAACCCTATATACAAGATCCTCAAAGACAAAAAAGCTCCAAGTTCCTATCACATCTGAATGACCAAATTGACACATGGAATCTTTGCAAGGATTTGATGTGTTCATAAACCAAAAAAAAATTCACGGGACAAATTTTTACTTTTCATTGCAAAACCATCTTAAGGTTCACCGTTACGGAAATGTCTTTATGGGTAAAATTACCTTCAATAAATGTTCATCAAGAAAACCTGCAATGTTCAAAATGCTGGAATGTGCATTATGAAAAATGCAAATATAAATAAGACAGACTCTCAGGACAGGTACCCTCCTCAGTGGGGGAAGATGTGATTCCAATCATTCAATACACACCAGGATGTGTTGAATACTAAAGAGGCATTGAATATGCTAGGGAAATCACAGGGCTGGAGCAGAGATAAAGAAGTAATTCTAGACGGAGAATCTGAACTTTCACAGTGAAAACAGGTTCTTTGGGTGCCTGATTAAAGAAGTATCCAAACACTGATGTGCTATAAAGTGGCAGAGATGTATACACACAGCTCCTTTCTATTATCCAGGGAGACCCGTATGCTGTTCTGAATCTTAAAACCGAGCAATATTTACATGCCAAATAAAAACACTATTGCTTACTAACCACATAAACGTCATAAATATTCTATTTATACTTGAAACTTTCAGTGATATTTTATAGCTAAGCATCTCAAGCTATACTGTACGCCACGCTCTGGACCAGAGGGAATTGCTATATACCATTGCAAACTGACAGAACCAAGTGCCTCCTAGCCTTAAGGGGGGGAAAAAATTCACATAAGGCTTTTTTTAAAACTGCATTTCAAAAACACCAAAAATATCCCTCTGAGAAGCAAGAGGAAAATTTTTGAATCTTAAAGAAACAATTAAGACCCATCCTCCAAAACCCTACTGCACCGTTAGAAAACAGATGGCCCTGGCAATACTGTGCTGGAAGACTGCCTTCAATTATCAGTCTGGTTACTACCAGCAGATGGGTACCCATGTAGCAAAGCCAAATTCAAGAAGAGGGAGAATCTGGCTAGTAGAAAGTACTTGAAAACTTGCTGGCAGCTGCTCTGTTCATGTATATGCGTTCATTTTATCATTAAAATAAGACAGAACCTGTTGTAGTCATTATACTCCCCTGTCTCATGTGCCCTAAGCAGGCTTCCTTTCCACTAGTTAACTGATACTCTATCAAATTAAGATAGCAATCAGAACTAAAGGGCAGGGCCAACTGATCTCAAGATTGAGAGGCTAACAACATTCACACCAGTCAGTGTTAAATTTTGCAAAAAACAATGATCATTACGGTGGAAGAATGTTATTGATTTAAATTAACATCATTACCCTATAGAACCTATAATCACTTGTTTGTTCTTCAGACTCAGAATAACCACTCCGCAAATGAGATCACAGATGTGAAAGGAAGGACACCTTATAAAGCACGTTGACAAGGGTAACAGAGCATTATTACCGGTATTTCTTCCCGAAGTTTAAAGGTAGCCAGAGCTCCGTGATCAATGCTAATTAAGATCAGCTGAATGAGATTGACGTAAAAGAGAAACTAGAATGTAGCCACTTGGGTTGACTTAGAATTTTTATTTATTTTACAACTTAGAAAATATTTTCTCACTCTTAAATAAAAAAAAAAAAATCAATCAAATCAAATGACACCTATATCTGGAGGTTTGACAAGAAAGCTAGAAAGATACTGTGTGCAAAACTGGGTATGTCCAAACAAGAAGGAAGGGAGGTTAAGAAAAAGGAAAGAAGGAAGAGAGAGCACCAGGGAAAGAGGAGGAAATTTATATTTATGTGTTTGTTGGTCTCAATCCATCTCTGTCCATAACTGGAGACGCTTAAATGAATAGTAAGCTCAATGGAAAGATTAACATGCCTTTCTCTATTCTGGCATTAGCTCCACAAATATTTGCTGCGAACGAAGAAATGTTCAGCCAATCCTGAGACCCAACAGGCTTATAATACTATGGCTGTGACCAACCCAAGAATTTTAAAAGGCCAGAATTTAGAAAATGAACATCTGAAAATGGCTGTGCAGGCTGCCATCCATCAGCAATTAGTTTTCCGCGAGGCTGCGGCCACTTAAGACTTGATTGGGTAGCTCATTATCAACAATGAGTTAAGCATACAAAGATATATTCTCCTAGGCATCCCTTGCATCCTTACATGATTTGCAAAATTGGGCACTGCTCTGGAAAAAAACACAACAACAACAAAAATCCCCATAACCGCAAGCCAGCGTTAGCGCTTAGCAAGTAATTCCACCCAGATCAACTTGGGTTTAGGAGCAGCAAGGGAAGCATCGTTTCCTAGGGCCAGACAAAACAAATTTCAGTTACTGTGTCGCATTTCATGATCCCATCCATGAACATAGCTTAATACGTCCCATGCCGGGGCAACGTCTATGTACGTGAATAAGGGGTGGATGCAAAGGGTGCGCTTTCTCCCTTCTGCCTCACCATTCCTGCCTGCCAGACCGAGCTCCTTAGAGGACTAGCATGATACAGATCCCTATGCCTGGAAAGGTCCCCAAGCAAGTGTTCCCCCTATCTCGACTGTTAAATGATGGTATTTTATCGCCCAACGCAATGAGGGCTGGCACCGGTTGCCGGACGAGCAGTTTATCTAAACTCTCCATTCCCTAGGATACTAAATGTTAACTTTACCCTAGATTGGGCCATTAGATCACGGTTTCCAGGGCTGATAATTTCTCATCGTGAGCAGCATGTTTACGAAATGCGAACAAGGAAAATTTCAGTACAACTGTCACTTTATTTCAGCATCCAAAATCTATAAGCATGCTAAACTTGTTTGTCCTCATTTATAATTAGATGCAGAAAAGACACCCAGAGTGATGCAATAATAGGGGAAATGTTAAATATGAAAATTCTCAAATGCACTGTGCCCTGGTCTCACAATCTCTGTGCCGGGAGGTGACAGCAAACAACGCTGACATCAAAAGGTCCTAACAGTTGTGAAGACCAAAGCAATGAGCAGGTGGCCTGCAATAACTGACCGGGCACTCACGTGCTGGGCAAGGGGCTAAGCGCTTTACATACAATATTTCATTTAATCATGACCACAGCCTTGAAAAGGGAGGTATTCTTTGTCCCCATATGCAGATGAGGAACATGAGACTCAGAAAGGGGGAAGTCATTGTTTCAAGGTCACACAGTAGGAAGGTGGCAGAAAAGCAATGTGACTTCAGATCTTGCTCACTCTAAAGCCACCACCGTTTTCCCACTAAGTTACACCACCTGTCTCACTGAGTAAATCACCCACCTGGTCCCAATCCCAGTGCAAACTGCAAGAGCCAGCTACACCCTTTGACTTCTTTATGTCATCCTCAAAAGAAGACGCATACGCAAACATGAACATTAAATTAAGATGAATGCTAAACTCATTCCCGGGCCCTGCGCTAGGCACTTTCCCTGATTTGACAAAGAAATCGCTGAAATGTAAGTGCGACATGATACGCACGTGCCTCGGTACAGGCTAGGGTTAGCCGAGGACAGCTCCACGGCTGACAGGCCAGACCTCGTGGGGAGTTGAATGAGTCTTCAGAAACACCTGCAAGACAATGTCCGGCCCACTAGTGAGCCTTGGCCAAGCAAGCAGTTTGAAAAGTGTTTGGACCCTCTTAACCAGATGATTGCTTTTACAAAATGTTTCCACCAGGCAGCCAGTGGAGTCGCGGGAGAGTTCCTGGCTGAAAGGGAAGCTCACAGAGGGAAGAGTTCGATGCCAGTCTGCCTGTGGAAATGTTAGCAGAAGCATCTGTTGGTTGGTCCCCACTGGCCAAAAGGCAAACATTTGTTTTGCTGAAACAAACACTTCCATTTGAAAACGTTTGCTGATGGAACCATCATCTGATGGGAAGTTTTCTTCCACTTGGGTGGCTGGCGCGGTGGCCCCCCGTCTCCAGCAGTATTACCCCTTTGAGGCTAGCTGATTTCACAATCGCCTCTTTGCTACCGGCAGATGTTCTGATTTTACCACCGTGACAACATTCGGCAAGGCTGTGGGGATAAATGCGTTTAGACTTGCCTCACCCAGATAAATAACTATTCTTTATAGAGAGTTTTGTAAAATCTTTACAGCCTAAAATCTGATCACAGAACATCTAAAGAGTAAGTGGAAAAACATTCTTTCCTGGGAGGTTTGATGGAGAAGAAACTTCTATTATTTCTTCTTTTCTTCCTCTTTTTAAAGTCACAATGTTGATCTATGGCTCTATTCAAATTGTTTCAGTCTATTAGCTGTTGCTAAATGGTTCTTAATTAAGCCTCTTTAAAAAGAAACTCAGGACACTAAATAAATTCAGAGAGAAGCCAAATTAAAGTACGTATGAATAAAATCCCATCAGTAGAAACACGGAGGTACACTTCGGGTCCCTGCCATTCAGGAATCCTTGCTGATTAAATAGGATCTCCAAATACACAGTCCACCGGTACTTGCATCTGCTGAACACTAAGGTTTGTGTTCACTTTTGAAGCCAGAATATAATTTACAATTACTTGATGTTTTTATAAGAATTTTAAATCTAGAAACTCCTTATCCATCATTACTTTTGTTTATTTATTTTTTAAGAAAGGGTCTCAGCCTGTTGCCTAGGCTGGAGTGTAGTGGCATCATTATAGCTCACTGCAGCCTCGAACTCTTGTGCTCAAGTGATCCTCCCACCTCAGCCTCCCCAAGGAGCTGGAACTACAGGTGTGCACCACCACACCCAGCTAATTTTTTTCATTTTTTGTAGAGACAGGGTCTCACTATGTTGCCCAGGCTGGTCTTAAACTCCTAGCCTCAAGTGATCTTCACACCCTGGCCTCCCAAAGTGCTGGGATTACATGCGAGAACCACTACACCTAGCCATTGTTTATTTAGATCTATGACTTTCCAAAGGTTTTTAACACATTGACTGCCATACTAGAGAAAAAAATAATTTTCCTTGGGGCTACAACGTTTTATTACAAAAACAAAAATTTCAAAAACAAAACAATTCTTTCTAATTCAATGAAAAATTTGTTATTTTTTATTGTTTTCTGTGCAAGAGTTATATGCAACTTGAAAAATAATTCACACAGCTCCCAAGGTGAAGAGACATGTAAGTTACATGTTTCATGAGGCCCCAGGCTCAAAACTAGCGTGAGTTAAATACAACTCACGTGGCAGTTCCCGTGTTAATATTGGATGACCCAAAAGCCAACCCTTAGAAAAAAGATCTGGATAACATTTCCCATCAATAATTTTGTTTCTTTCTATTTAGAAAAATCCCCTCCTTTCTTTCTTCCACCCTTCTACCTTCTAGGCACCCTAAAACAATCTTTAAAAAAAAAAAAGTACATCTTCATAACACAAGTCATGCTTTCCTATAATTGCTAGATGCATACAAGTAATTATTACATATAGGAATAGAGAATGGAAAAATTAACATTTATATACAGAACACTATAATCCTTACTTCCAACAAATAGAAAAGAAAAATGATGTAGTCATAACAGGCTACTGACAAACAGTACAGAAATTCTCTTTTCCCCTTGCTCCTGGTCCTGCACAGAAATTAAGAAATACTCAGCTCTCCCCTTCACTCACCTCGATGCTTCTCCTCAGCTCACTTTCCTTTATCTGACTCGCCTGGAATGCCTGTTCAGTTCTGCAGAACTTTTGCTTAAATTCCTCCAAAGTTTTTTCTAGCTGTTGCTTTACTGATGTAACCTACGAAAATGAAAAAAAATGGTAAAATATCATTTTTAGGTTCTTTACCTTTCCAATCATTTATTCTTAATAAAAAGGTCATAGAATATAATAATCGATGCTATTGATTTCGGCACACAATACACGTCACAGCTAAATATATAACTTAAAATAATGTGAACCTGTAACATCACTTACAAAGGAAAAAAGATTTAACCACCAAAAAAAAAAAAAAAACTAGATTGTACTAAACAACCAAAAGAGAAAAGTTGAGATAAGAAACAGACTGGGAGAATGTATTTTCAATATACAGAATAAATCCCTAATTTTAGAAAATAAAGAAGCAAACACTAAGAATTTAAGTCTGACAACAGGTGACTACCTGACACATCCAGCGTAAACTAAGACGCGTCACTCTCCAGCAAAATGGGTCAAGTCAAGAAAAGAATGAGCTACTGCATTGCACAAGCTCTGCCTTCTCAAAGCTGCAGAAATTTCGTGCTTAAGGGCTGTCCACAGAGCAGCAAACTCATGGCAAGATCTGAGTATAAGAGGAAGGCAATATAAACAAACAGCCATAGTGTGTGCCAGAAGGTATACACTACGGAGAAAAATAAAGCAAACTAAAGAAAACAGGAAGCACTGGAAGTTAGGGTTGTAAGTAGCGACCAGAGACAATTTCATTAGTGGGGTGACAATGGAGCAGAAATCGCAGGGAAGTGGAGGAACCTGAAGCCCTACAGATCTACCTGCGGAAAGAACATTGCCAAGAGGACGCAGCAAGAGCAAAGCCCAAAGTTTGCACAGGCTTGCTGGGCTTGGCCAAGGACAAGGAGCCCATGGGAGTGAGGGGTGAGCAGGAGAGGAGGCCGACCAGCAAGGGGAGGAGGGAAAGCACTTAGGGTCTTGCAGGCCTGTTGAAGGACCTGGTTTTTAACCCAGAGAGACAGGAAGTGACCACAGCAGCGCCACGATCTGACTTTTACTTTAAAAGGCTCGCTCTGCTGCTGGTTGGGAACAGAGTGTCAGGGGAAAGCCTTGCAGGGAGAGCAGTGAAGAGAGGCTGGGACAGTCACCCAAGGGAGTCAGGGTGGTGGCTTAGACTAGAGGGTGGCACCTGGTATGGCAAAAAGCAGTCAAAGTCAGGGCCGGGTGCGGTGGCTCACACCTGTAATCCCAGCACTCTGAGAGGCTGAGGCAGGCGAATTGCTCAAGGTCAGGAGTTGGAAACCAGCCTGAGCAAGAGCAAGACCCCATCTCTACTATAAAGAGAAAGGAATTAATTGGCCAACTTATATAGAAAAAATTAGCCGGGCATGTGGGCATGCTGTAGTCCCAGCTACTCGGGAGGCTGAGGCAGCAGGATTGCTTAGCCCAGGAGATTGAGGTTGCTGTGAGAGCTAGGCTGACACCACAGCACTCACTCTAGCCTGGGCACCAAAGTGAGATTCTGTCTAAAAAAAAAAAAAAAGCAGTCACAGTCAACTTGAACCATAAAGGGAGACATAAAAGTCAGGCTCATTCTTAGCAGGGAGGTAGAGATACATACGGAGGGTTTCTAGTGGGCTGACAAGACTCTACCTCCTCCTGACACAGGGAAGGATTATAGGAGAGCATGCCACAGAATAATCTATTGACTTGCCAATGTGTTTATATAGAGGTCATATTTTAACACAAACAATTTAAATATGCTACATATACACACAAATACACACGCACACACATACACATGTATACACACATAGACATGCAAACATCTGTGTGTGTGTAAACAAATAAAGATATGCGGGTGGGATGAGTCTACAGTCCAGAACAGTCATCCAGGCTGGGGGTGGAAAAACCACCATCATATAGATGATACATAAGGCCGGAAACTGGAAGAGACCATTTTTGGAGTGAGTCTTTTTTTTTATTTTTTTTTTATTTTTTTTTTTTGAGACAGAGTCTCGCTTTGTTGCCCAGGCTAGAGTGAGTGCTGTGGCGACAGCTAGCTCACAGCAACCTCAAACTCCTGGGCTCGAGTGATCCTTCTGCTCAGCCTCCGGTAGCTGATACAGGCATGCGCACCATGCGACTAATTTTATATAGTATATCAGTTGGCTAGATTATTCTTAGTATTTAGTAGAACGTTCTCTTGCTCAGGCTGGGGGTGGAAAAACCACCATCATATAGATGATACATAAGGCCGGAAAACTGGAAGAGACCACTTTTGGAGTGAGTCTTAAGCCGGTAAGTCGACGATCACTTTCAGGGCTTTAACTGTTTGGCAGCTTAAACCACTTGGGACACCTCCCACCAAGAACAGCAGAGACCTCCACGGACGCCCTTAAGATCTGAACCCCTGACTCACTTGCCCTTTCTCTAGACAAGAAAACTGAGGGCCAGAAGGTTCTATCTGCTCCCCACTTTAACAAGGAAGGAAAGCAAGGACAGAACGGTTTCCCTTCGGAAGTGTCGTATGTCGGGGCTGTGGTGGGGAAAAAACACGTCTGAGGAAAGGGGGATTGCTGGGGAGGGAGGGAGAGGCCAGCGCCCTACTTTATCCAGCTCGGCCTGCAGGACGTTGGCTTGCTGCAGCTCCTGGGTGAGTCTGGCCTTCACCTGGGTGCTCTCCTGGTCCAGTGTCTGGAAACAACGCTGCTGACGAGAGAGCTCCTACAAAACAAAGGGCGTCCACGTCAGCGCGGCGCTGGCTGGCAACGGGGACGGGGGTGAGGCACAAACTTCCCAACCGGTGACGCTGTTCTGAGAGCTCGGGAGACAGCAGGGAGCCGGCCCGCCGGCCCCTCAGTGACAAACGTGGTCAGCCTCAACGCTGGGCCCAGGGATCAAATTCAGGCCCCTGAGGGGACAGGGAAGGAGCCCGTCAGTTGACCCTGTGGAAACTAGCCTGTTTCCGCCTCAGCCCCCGTCGCCAATGTGTCATCTCTGTCTGGAAGCGCCAGGAAGCAGAGAGAAGAGCTAAAGGTGCAGTCATCACAACTCCGCTGAGAAATCAAACAAGCTCAAAAATGGCATTTTAAAGCATCAAAAACCATGGACCACTTAGCATGGTCTTAAATTTAGAAGAACAGGAAGTATATGCCACACATTAACTTTGATAACCACAGAAGGATGCCAGTTAACATCTCCAGTCACTCTTGCTGAAAGGCCGTAGACTGTCCGTCCACGTGATATTCAGGTTAACTCCCCTAAAAGAACCCAGCTGGCAGCAGCACTTACAGAAGGGCACCTCCCACCCTAACTCCCGCCAGCTTCATTCCTCAACTACCTTTCTATCAACTTAGTTGCCAGCCTGTGGGCTTTAGAGACAACTGGAGAATGTAGTACAATGTCCTTCACAGCAGAGAGAATGCGTGAAAGCTTTCCCACCCAGTGTCAACTCCCAAACTAATCAGAGAACATGGATTAAAAAAGAAAGTTCTGACTACCTGCAGTTCCCTTCTCCAATCAGAAACTGAAAGATGGAAAAAGTACAAAATGCAAGTGTGTAAAGGAAAATAAAGTGAACTTTCAATCGCAAAGCATTTCCCTGCTAATAGAATTTCCCAAATTATGATAAACAGTTCCCCTTTCCAAATGATCAGACTATGCAAAGCCCACAAAGAGCCTTTCGAACAAATTTTCCATGAACCTGTTTATTTACCTTACCTCTTGAAATTCCTTTTCTTTTTCCTTAATTTTCTGTTCCAGGGAACATCTGGCACTTTCTGCATTTTGTCGCTGGCAACTCAAATCTTCAGTCAATTTTTTCAATTTTTGTTCCAATGCAGCACACTAACAACAAATAAAAATGTTCGAGACAAAACAGAAATGATTCAAGATAAGCAGCAAATAGTTCGTGTTTTAGAAAAATTAGTCCCAAGATCTGTTTCAAGCTTACCCTTGTTTTGATATTTTTACTTCCTAAAAGGTTGGGTTTAAGACTATAAGCCAAATACTAAAACTACTATAGTTATTTTACCACACGATTTATATTTGGGGAATATTAGCGAGGATGTAAAGCATTAGCCCATTTAAATAGTCCATAATTTGGGCCATGAATAAAGAGATCAGCATGCCTAATGATTGCTCTAACATTTTGTCGCATGGAAATGGGAGGTTAAAATGCAGTGGTGTTAACCTCTGTGATTTAAAGGCTGTAAAACAATCAGAGGGCGCCCATTACCCCCATATGATAGTCTGTTTCAAGTGCAATGGATTTTGTTGGAAATTTTAAATATTAAGATGTTTCTTTCCATAATGTTCCCACTAAGCCACTTTAAATTTCTAGAGGTTCATGGCACTCCAGAGAGTATTCTAAGTGGGTTTTAATCAAGCTGCCATAAGCAACACAAGGAACATTCTATTCACTTTTTTCCATAGCCAGTTATCCCTCAAATAATATTTAAAATGTGAACCACAAGAAAAATGTAGAATACTCTTCCAAATTTAGATTGGAACAAAATGGTCTTAATGCTTCAAGTGCTAAAACCCATTCCTCTACATCTTCTCCATGGGCTCAAATCCTTAAACCGCCCCACAAAATGACGCTAGGGACCCAGGGACTAGCAAGACCCCTCCACTCTGGTGGTGAACAATTCCCCACTCCTGAAGAAACGTGCTCCAATGTGGCAAGAGATTCTCCAAAGTCTAATTTAAAGCTGTGAGAAATATTAAAAATGTAACTGAGAATTCAGAGGAAGAGAAAATACTACATAATACTTTGCCAGAAGACCAGTCTGTCACCAATTATTAACTAATCAAAGATGAAAAGGGCCACGCTGGCCATTAATGACTAAATGATTTTGCAAATATCAGAACTTTAAAAATACCCAATTCAAAAGGTAAACTTTTGAGCCAGGGGTTCAAATTAATCCAATGCCTTGGACATTAAGACACCTTTGCCATTATCTCTATTGTCCCAGAATTTTTAAACGCCCAAGGAAAAGTATTACAGAGATTATTTATAACAATAATAAATATGAATTCAACAAATATCTATTGAGAGCAGACTATATGTCCAGCACTGTTTTAGGCACTGAGGGTACGGCAGTAAACAACAGACAAAAGTCACCGCTCAAATGATGGTCCAAAATGTTGATGGTTGGCAAACTGCACAGGGAGGCGGAACACCACCTCACACTGTAAAGTAAATGAATGAACCCTTGGCGCCCTCTACTGGCACTCCTTCAAACTACAACACATCCCACTAATGGATCTCAGAATCAACAAATCCTTTCCTACTAGACATAGAGGTTAAAAAAGTCTTTAAAAGGAATTTTTATTTTATTTAGAATTTTTTTAATGGAATTCTATTATCAACGATGCACAATCTATGTAAGAGTAGCCGACCACTAGGTGTCATCAATGCTCCATAATACGCTAAAACAGTAACCAGAGCTCAAGTCCTTGAAAACATGTAGCATATGACCCTGGGCACTCGCTCTCACAATCTCTCTGGGCCTGAGCTTTGCATCTGTGCAGTGTGGGGCCTGAACTCCAGGTCTGCTGCCAGCTCAACACTGTCTCTACATTCCCTCTACATTCTGAATTCAAGCCTTGTATCCCACACAGTTTTTCCTTTTTTTTTTTTTGAGACAGAGTCTCACTTTGTTGCCCAGGCTAGAGTGAGTGCCGTGGCGTCAGCCTAGCTCACAGCAACCTCAAACTCCTGGGCTCGAGTGATCCTCCTGCCTCAGCCTCCCCAGTAGTTGGGACTACAGGCATGCGCCACCATGCCCGGCTAATTTTTTCTATATATTAGTTGGCCAATTAATTTCTTTCTATTTATAGTAGAGACGGAGTCTTCACTCTTGCTCAGGCTGGTTTTGAACTCCTGACCTCGAGCAATCCACCCGCCTCAGCCTCCCAGAGTGCTAGGATTATAGGCGTGAGCCACCGCGCCTGGCCCCACACAGTTTTTAAATACCTGGAAAAGACATATACTATAAACAGCATATGTGCACTTAAGAACATGGTATTTAAAGTCCCAGATCAGTTGACTAAAAAAAAAAATAAATAAAAATAAAAAAAATAAAAAAAAGAACATGGTATTGATTTTTGTTACAGTAACTTAATTTCATTTAATAGGTGATTCTAATGGTAGATCAGGAAATATAACAATTTTATTTCAGCAACACATTTGACGAAGTCATATTATCCTATGGGACAAGATAGAGAAAAGTAGACTGAATTTTCAATTAGGTAGATTTGTAGCTCACTGGAAAAGAGGAATCCAAACAGTGCAGAACAAACAAATCCTAACCTCATGCTAATCCTCAACCTAGAGGAAAGTCTCTAATAGAAAGAAAGCCAGAGCTGTATTCTCAGCATTGTCTCAGTCAAAAGATCTAATTCATGATCTGATGAGAAGAAACCACACCAAATATGTAAGGCAGAACAAGGATTTGGTGAGCTTATCATCCCAAAACCGACAAGGCAAAATGTAAAAGTAAGGGTCCTCAAACTTTTTAAACGGGGGGCCAGTTCACTGTCCCTCAGACCGTTAGAGAGTGCGCACTGTGGGCCAGGGACGAGTTGGCTGCTAAGCAGGACAGGCAGCCGTGGCAAAAACACCCAGAGGGCTGGATAAATGTGCTAGGTGGCCCGTCAGCCATAGTTTGAGGACACCTGTGTAAAAGGATAAATGTAATTGTTTTACATAGGAAGGCCTGACTAGGCAGAAATGCAACTGAAAATTAGCTTAATTGACCAGGAATTCAAAAATAAGGCATGATAATGACAGCAAATATTATTATAAGTTCACCATGTGTTGGGTACTATGTTAAAAGTTATCTCAATCTTTACAGCAACCCTGTGACAAAGGCATTATTATTAACACCATTTCATTGATTAGGCAACTGAGGCTCCAAAGTTCATTCAATAGCTCTCAAAGCCACAGAACTGGAATGCCAGGGTTCCAATCCAAATCCTTTTACCTTAAAAAAACAAATTACCATTGCAAACTGAGACTACATGAAGAGATTAAATATATGGATCAAGGCACGTCATAATTCCAATGAAGCTCCACTGCTCCTACACACATCCAGTAAATATTTCTCCAGAATTTCTCTGGGTAAAGCATTATACTATGAAAATATATAAAAATGAACCTGACTTACACTTCCCTATTTCTCCCAACAAGAACAAAAACTCTGGACATTATATTAAAACAAACATAAGAAAGGTCTGATATACCCAGCAGAAAAATCCTTCAGGAATGAAGAGGAAATCAAGACATTCTCAAATGAAGAAAAACTAGGAGAGTTTATGGCCAGCAGACCAACTCTAAAAAAATAGCTAAAGAAAGTTTTCTAAGCAAAAAAGAAATGATGAAAGAAGGAACCTTGGAAGGACTCTCAGAAAGGAAAAAGAACAAGGTAAGTGACAATACAGATATATATAATAGATTTTCTTTTTCTTCTTCAGCTTTTTAAAATATGTTTAATGACTGAAGCAAAATGTAGTTCTAAATATAGGTAGAGAAAACATTTAAGGCAATTATATTATTAATGGGAGAGGGCAAAAGGATGAAAATAGAGGTAAATGGTTTATAAAATTCATTACAGCTAATAAAATGAAGACATCAACAGACTGTGATAAACTATAAATAAGGTAATATCTGGAACAATCACTATAAAAGCTCTACAAAGAGATTCACTCAAAAGTAGTATAGATACACAAAAATGGAATCCTAAAAACTGTTCAAGTAACCCACAAAGGCAGGGGAAAAAATGAAACCAGAGAAATGAAAAAAATAGACAAAAACAGAAAATAAAAAAAATGGCAAACTTAAGTCATGATATATCAATAACTACAGTAAGTGTAAATGGTCTAAATACACTGATTAAAAAACAGACAATGGGCCGGGCGCGGTGGCTCACGCCTGTAATCCTAGCACTCTGGGAGGCCGAGGCGGGCGGATTGCTCATGGTCAGGAGTTCGAAACCAGCCTGAGCAAGAGTGAGACCCCGTCTCTACTAGAATAGAAAGAAATTAATTGGCCAACTAATATATATAGAAAAAAAATTAGCCGGGCATAGTGGCGCATGCCTGTAGTCCCAGCTACTTACTTGGGAGGCTGAGGCAGCAGGATTGCTTGAACCCAGGAGTCTGAGGTTGCTGTGAGCCAGGCTGACGCCACGGCACTCACTCTAGCCTGGGCAACAAAGTGAGACTCTGTCTCAAAAAAAAAAAGACGGACAATGGAAGAGTATATTTACTCTTCCATGACCCAATTTTATGCTATCTATATAAAACTCACCTCAAATATAATAGCATAGGGAGCCTGAAAGTAAAAAGACAGGAAATGCATCATGTAAACAATCAAAGGAAAGCTAGAGTAGCTATGCTAATATCAGATAAAGTAGATTTCAGAATGTTAAAAATTGCCAGGGACATTATATAAAGACAAAAGGATCAATTCTCCAAGGTAGCAATCCTAAATGTATATGCACCAACCAACAGAGCTGCAAAATATGTGAAGCACAAACTGAAAGAACTGAAAAGAAAAATAGACAAATCCTCAATTATAGTTGGAGACTTCAACATTCCTCTGTCAACAACAGATGGAACCACTAAACAGAAAATTAGCAAGTACATTAACAAATTGAATGATCAACCAACAGGATCTTATGACATTTTTCTGAGAGCAAAATAAACCTAAAGCAAGCAGAAGGAAATAATAAAGAACAAAAGTGAATGAAATTGAAAATGGAAAAATAACAGAAAAAAAAACAATGACCCCAAGGGCTGATACTTTGGAAAAATAGCAATAAAATAAAGATCACCAAAACCGACAAATCTCTGGCAAAACTGACAAAGAGAAACAGATACAAATATCAAAAGAATAAGGGAATACGATGAATCACTCTATATACATAAATCTGACAACTTAGATGAAAACAAACTATTCCAACAGCCCCAATATGAAATAGATAGTTTTAATAGCTCTGTAACTATTAAAGAAATTGAATTTATAATTTTAAAAACTCATAAAAAAGGAATCTTCAGGTCCAGATGGCTTCACTGGAGAATTCTACCAAATGTATAAAGAAGAAAAAACACAAAGTTTACACTATCTCTTTGAGAAAGTTGAAGAGAAGGAAATGCTTTCCAATTCATTTTATGAAACTAGGGCTCTATACCCTGACACAAACATCAGACAAAGATGGTAGGAAAAACAGCAGACCAATATCCTTCATGAATATAGACACAAAAATCCTTAACATGTTAATAGCAAATAAAATTCAAAAATAAATAAAAAGAATTATATACCATAATCATGTTTACCATAGTGTTTATTCCAAAGATACAAGTATCATTCAAATATCTGAAAATCAATCAAAGTAATCCACCACATTAACATTATTTTGTACAACTACTTAAGAATCTACAATTACCTTCAAATTAAAATTTTAATTAAAAAAAAGAATCTGACCCTAGAAAGCAAACAAAAGAGATATGTCTTCCGGAGTGAATTTTACCTACAACCTCAGAAATATCTAAACAGTTTATAAAAAGTAAATGCCTCCGGCCCACCTAAGATGTGGGTCTAATAGCATCAATTTCGAAAGGTTCTCTGTGATTTTGACAATTAGAAAAGTGAGGAAGCACAGGGCCAAAATACAAATAATGACAATATAAAGGGTCATAAGGGGAACACCAGGAGAAAATATCTTATTAATTTAGAGATGAGGAAAGAAGCTCACGAAGATGAGAAAGATGGAAGGATTTCGACCTGGGCAGGGGGGTTTTCCCAGCAAAAAGGCAAAGGTAAGCAAAACAGTGGGCCCAGAGAAAGATTAGATTTGGGAAACACCAAATCCTCGTGGTTGGTCTTAGAATATAATTTGTTTTTCTCCGCAATACTTGTTGCCACATACCATACTATCTATGTTACTTATTTATTTTTATTATTTTCTGCTTCCCCCTATTAAGATGAACCTGCATTGGGCAATGATTTTTGTATATTTATAGCTGCCCCAGACCCCAGTCTATAATGCCTGATATACAGCAGGCACTCAAATATTTATGAAATGAGTCAGTGAATGAATGAATGCTAGAAAAAAGAGAAGAAAAGAATAGAGAGGTAGGCTGGGGCCAAAGCAACAACAACAACAAAAAATTAAACACTTAAATGACTGGCTACAAAGCTTGGCCTTAGTTGGAGCCTTAAGAAGAAGATTCAGGCCAGGTGCTGTGGCTCACGCCTGTAATCCTAGCTCTCTGGGAGGCCAAGGCGGGAGGATGGCTCAAGGACAGAAGTTCGAGACCAGCCTGAACAAGAGTGAGACCCCGTCTCTACTAAAAATAGAAAGAAATTAATTGGTCAACTAAAAATATATAGAAAAAATTAGCTGGGCATGGTGGCGCATGCCTGTAGTCCCAGCTACTCAGGAGGCTGAGGCAGGAGGATTGCTTGAGCCCAGGAGTTTGAGGTTGCTGTGAGCTAGGCTGATGCCATGGCACTCACTCTAGCCTGGGCAACAGAGTGAGGCTCTGTCTCAAGAAGATGATTCAATGGTGGGCATACAGTTGTCACTCAGTATCTGTGAAGGATTAATTCCAGGAACCTCCCCACCTCCAGGATACTAAAATTTGCAGATGGTCGAGTACCTTATATAAAATGGGGCAATATTTGTATATAACTCACGTATGTTCTTTTATAATATTTAAATCGTCTCTATATTACTTATAATTTCTAATACAATGTAAATGCTATGAAAATAGTTGTTACACTTTATTGTTTAGGGAATAACAACAAGAAAAACATCTGTACATGTTCAGTACAGATGCAATCATTCACTTTCTTTCCTAAATATTTTCGATTCACAGTTGAATACACAGATGCAGAACACAGATAGAGAGCCAAATGTAAATACACTGAATCCAAAAGCAGATTAATTAAATCCTATCCTATGTCCTAAAACTCTTGAAGTTCTATTACTTTAAGTGCCTATTCTATGGGCCATATACCTACCATGCCAGGTGCCATATATATACATTTTCTTTATTCTCCACCACATCCTGAGCCACAAGAGATCCATAACTTGCCCAAAGTCACTTAGTGGGAAAGTGTGGTACCAGGATTAATCCCAGAACTGCCCAACTTTAAAACAGCTTTCTACCATGTTTCCCCGAAAATAAGATCTACCCATAAAATAAGCCCTAGCAGGATTTCTAAGCATTTGCGCAATATAAGCCCTACCTCCAAAAAAAGACCTAGTGATGGGCGTGGCTACGCAGTGTATCTGCACAACCCATGCATTTCTTTGTGAAGCGGTAAAGAAGTTGAACAGCCCTTTTCATCTGCCCCATGAGAGCTCTATTGCTTGACATGAGAGATTGGGGCCATTGGTTCTAAAGGAAATAGAGTTGCAAGAAATTCAGGATGGAATTCAGGGTTTGGAGAGTTATGATAATTTTCCAGAAGATGACAACTTAACTATATTTGAATAAATGGAGATTGTTGTACAGTACTTAAAAAAAAAAAATAACACATCCCCCGAAAATAAGCCCTAGGGTGTCTTCTTCAGGAAAAATAAATGTAAGGCCCTGTCTTATTTTCAGGGAAACATGGTAGTCCAAATCTCTGCACAGTGCTAGCACATATTAACAAAGATCATTACTAACATTTATTTCATATACTTAAGTAAAAAAAAAAATACCCTTTCCAGATAACTGTATAAAAAGATGAAGATTTCTCAATAATTCATGAAAAGTCAAATACCTTGGTTGATGCCTGGTCGTATTGTGCTGTTGTTCTCACTAATTCATCCCTACTTTTGTTTAAAACCTTCTCTTTTTCAATTAATTCCAATTTTGCTTTCTCCAGTTGGAGTTGGAGTTCTTGAAATATATTCACTTGGCCTTTCATTTGTTTTTCTTGTCCTTGTAGACGTAGTTCCAACTCATTAATGTTGCTTCTTAGCTCTTAAGCCACAAGTAAAAACCACACTCCAATTAGTACATGTTTCATAAAATGCTCAGAATGTATCATTTATTTTACTCTACTCTGAAATCTTCAGTAAGACAAATATAAACAATTTATGTTAAACACAGAAGCCACTTTAATTGGATTTAACTTCAATGGTCAGTTTCTATTGACATTGTTAGTCAAATACTCTATAGGAAGCAGGAGAAACACATTTTTCTCATGTTCTCACAGAGAAACACAGGGGGAAACGCTTTTCTAAAACCACAAATACTAGCTTATTGAGGCTACAAAAAGTACATCACATATAACACCAAATTTGTTAAAATCACCACTTGGTTTTACACACTGGCAAACTCATATTTGTTTTGTGCCCATATCCATGCAAATTAGTGCTAAGCAGTGAAAAGTTCACCCTCCTATATTCTCTGCTAGCTTTACCTCCAGTAACGATCAAGACAGTGTGAACCTCCTACACTGCCAAAATTAACAATGATTTTTTTGTTGTTGTTGCCACTTTTTTCCCCACATACACATGACACTGGTTCCAATGGCATTGGCAGTGTGACAGCTCTCACCAGTGAGCACTGATGATGATTTTCAATATATCACAGCACTGGAAATTATCATATTCTACGGAGTGGATTCCAAAACACCACCTGGTACCCTTGGCCGTCAGCTGCAGCAGGGCACAGCAGCCAAGGTGACAGGTTTGCTCCCATATGGACAGCCTGGCAGTGAGGAGCAAAGCTACTCTGCAGACACACGCACAACCTCTGGCCAAAGCTGGTCAGACAGCAGGCGTGTCCTGTGGGCCACAAAAGGAGCTAGATGAGCAGAGTGGGGAGTGCAAACCGTAACCAACCTACTCACCCCGTCTCTGGAAAGTTAACTGAAAGCCTCTCAACCTACTTCTAAAGGATTCAGGACACCAGAGTCTCAATGCAAATATTATAAAAGCGCATTCCAAAACCGTGGTATCTTTTATCATTTTCAAAAGGACAGTATTTCCTATAACCAGCCTGAGATGTTGAACCGTGATGTGTCTAACAAAACACATAAGCGCGTTCTAGGATTAAAATATGCGAAATCACCTCTGAAATTATCTCAGGAGAAATTAACTTAAACTTAGCTCAAAAGTTACCTTGATTCTGTGCTTTTAGTTGATCCAAAAGTGGAGAACTGCTAGAATTATCACAGAAACTGCCATTAGCATCTCTTTTCCCTCTTTGCAAAATTGATCGACTTGGAGTCGCCTCGAGTTCCCCGGAAAACTTAGATGCAGAGAAATCTCTCCTAACTGGAGTTTTTTGAGAATTGGATGAAAGACGACTTGGGGTCTTCTCTTGTTGCCATGAGAACACAGACGAGGAAGCCTGGTGTCGAGCAATGTCTCGGTGATTCATGGTGGCTTGGGGAATGGTCTGGCTTGCTTTCTGTACAAACAGACACTCTTTAGAGCCCTTCAGAAGTCTCGCTATTCAAGGCTATCTATTTTCAGACAAAACGTAAAGCCATAATACCAAGAAGCTGACACTTGTACTGTCTACCACAAAAGAATGTTCATCAGGTTAAGGGAACCATAAGTCCTAATACCCAGTGATGAAATTTTCTAATGGTCAGATTTCTCAGCATTGAAGGGGTAAAGCCACTACCATCTGAGGCCCAACCTATTTAAAATGGGCTAAATCTTAGTATTTACTCTGCATCCCTCCTGTCATCCATTAAACATGTGAGTATTCACTCTCATTCATTTCGAATTCTAAAACTGGCTTTCCATTGCCCGTCCTTGGTCACCTCAACCTGTAGCTTTGCACAAAGAGAATTAAAAGGAAACATTAGCCTAAGTCAAGAATCTCACTTTCCATCGTACCACTCACTCCCCCCACCCAAAAAAAGGTCACCTAGAGTGTTTTATATAATAGACATGTGTGGACTATCTAATGCTTTTCATTATTCTTTCTGTTCTCTCTATATCCACTCTGACAAATAACAAGACTCAGATGTAGATGTAACATTAAATTTTTTAGAGCAAGCACTTTTCTTGCCATAGGAAGGAATTTAATATGTATAGAGACTCATATTCTCCATAAAATAACTCTGAGAATCAATGTCAGGGGCAGAAATGGTACCAATGAATGAGGTGGGTGACAAAGTACATAATATTTCTAAAACAAGCCAGAGAATTAGTATTTAATTTTTATTCACCTTGATAAGCAATGCCTTAATTTAACTTAGATATGTATATCAGAATCCTGGTAACCTCAAAACAAGGGTTAAAGGAGTAAAAATTGTTAAAGTTCTAAGAAACAGGTACTTTCTGAACCTCAGTATTTAAGGCACTTATTGTAAATTCAGCCTTAAATTGTTTGCTGAATAGTTCATATGTTTAGCAGGAAGATATCATTAAGTGCGAGACTGGGTTTATTTTTTTTAGCAAATAACATCATGTGAACAGAAATGACAGAGGTCAAATTTAATAGATATTTTCAAGGTATTTTCAGGGTTAGTCCCTGAACTAGAAGCAGGGGTTTTAGAAATCTACATTTTATTTAGTTTGTTGACATTAAACAAATCTTTTCACCTAGCCCTTTCTGCTTATTTACCAATATCAATATGGAGTTTAAAACTCTTGTCAGCAACTTATTTAAAAGCACTGAGAAAACTATGTTGGTAGTTTCTGAAATAAACATTTCACAAAAACCAATCCTCAAATTCCAAGTCCCTGGTAGTAATCACTACATTCCATCAAAAGGACAGTAGAGGAAACAACTGTCTCCAGGTGACAAAGCCTCAGGGATAATTCTCTGGTCCTACCCTCTCCAAACATGCTCAGTGTCACTAGATCTTAACAGGGAAATAATTAAATGGCTATGGTTTCCGTAGAATTCCGTGACCATTTAATATTTGGGCATCTCTAACCTCTCCACTCTATTTTACTCTCTCCTACCTTTTTTTTTTTTTTTTTGAGACAGAGGTCTTGCCCTCTATGGTTGCTAAGGACCCATCATGCCTACTACGCCAACACATACAAAACCTCATGTCGGACATCAAGCCAACAAAGAATCACTCACTGCCTCAGAAAACCAAAACACTCACCGAAAACCAAGATAGCGGAACAAACTACCACCGGCATGCAACCCTCACCATGCCTGACCTCAATTTATTTCATACAACATAAAAATATATATTAACTGGTCACTCTATACTTTCTTTACATAAAATAATATACAAGCCAGACGACGGTGTCATCCAACTCATTGACTCAGGACTACTCAGCCTCTCGACAACTCCCCTCGAACCTCACAGAGCGCCAATCCACCGCACCAGACCTCCAGAATCAAGAAAACATTACAGGCTTAGACCCATCACTCAATCCACACCCCGCGCACTCAAAACTCTCCTCCCATAAATTTTTAAAAATAAAAAAACAAAAACAACACCACTTTAACTGTGCTAGGGACACTTATATCTCAAAAACACAAAAAAACAATATAAAGAACAAAATATATCCAGCATCACACTATGTCAAAAACAGATTCACTCAAATCAACCACATTTTCATCCTACATCAAAGCATCCTCCATTTACTGCATCTCTATCATTAGGGCCCTGAGTACTACTTTAGCTGCAAGGCTTAACCTCTGCACTCTATGCTTTCCGTGTTCAACTTCTTTATATATTTTTCTTTTACATCTTCATACTTGGGAACTAAAAC